GCTTTCAAACGTTGTATCCAGCCCGCTTGAGAGTGCACTACGAAGAGGGGGAAACGACCTACAATTCAGCGGAGGAGGCAACAGCGGACATGGCGAGTCGAGGGCTCTCGGTGAAGGTGATCGAGGGGCCAGACACGCTGTGGGAGAGAGTACAACAAGCAGCCTGGCAACCAGCGCGGCCCAAGAGGAGAAACCCTGCTGCAAACGCCACGGGGTTTAAACAAAAGCTGCAGGCATTCCGTCGAATCTCATCGAAGGAGAATGACTGAAGTTACTTTTCACAATAACTATTCTAAAAGATGACGAGGTAAATACAACAAAGGATTTTTTAAACTTTTGGTCAAAAGGAGGACAAGGACACTGGTGATTGCAGTCACAGTGGAGGAGGGCCCTCTGGCACACTCGGGGTGTAGAGGCTATCCCTCTAACCAACAGGTCGATAAAAGGACCTCAGGTTGGGAAGTTAAAGACAGGTTTTGTTTTTTTGTTAAGGTTTGTTCTGTTCATTTTTATTATGTACGGGTATTTATTGTTTTGCACGGTGTTTTGTGTAATGGGGAATGCTTACTGGAAATAGAGCACAAATCAAACAGTTATGTTGGGAGAACCGGTTGAAATAGTTTCCTTTAATGTTAACGGAGTACTTAACCCGGTGAAAAGGAGTAAGATCTTGACCAAATTAAAACGAGAAAAGGCACAAATAGCTTTTCTTCAAGAGACTCATTTGAGCCAATCTGAACATGCTAAACTAAAAAGGCAAGGTTTTAAATCTGTATTCTCTTCCTCCTACAAATCAGGCCACCGGAGAGGGGTTGCTATACTAATTTCGAACTCCCTAAATTACGAGCATTTGGAGGAAACACAAGACGAGGAAGGAAGGTTCATAAGGGTTTTTGGAAAAATTGAGGGATTTGAAATAACATTGATTAATGCCTATATTCCACCAGGAAGTGACTGGTCTCTGTACAAGCAAGTCTTTGATCTTATGGTGAATTCCCAGGGGATAGTTATTTGTGGGGGGGATTTCAATATTAAGTTGTATCCAAAATTGGATGCTTCAAACCCACAGAATAAAGAAAATACTCTAACTAAAAAGGTTAATTCATTGATGAAAGAACTGGGAATCACTGATATTTGGAGAGAACTATACCCTAGGAGTAGAGATTATACTCACTACTCATGCCCTCACCGTGTCTATTCAAGAATAGACTATTTCTTTATGTTCAAGAATGATGTTCACAGAGTGAGAGACTGTAAGATCAAGACAATTGACCTTTCAGACTACAGCCCTATTTCTCTATCGGTCGTCTTAGAAAAAAGGTTAGAAGAGTATTATGGAAGTTAAACACAAATATTCTCAATGATCCAAAACTGAGAGAAGAGTTGAAGGGAGACATCAAAAGCTATTTGGATTTGAATGACACCGGTGAAGTGTCACAGATCATGTTGTGGGACGCCTTAAAGGCAGTAATGAGAGGAAAGGTTATTTCACTAACTTCTCATTTAAAAAAAAAGAGGACACAAAAATTAACTGATCTTCAAGGAAAATTAAAACGTTTACAACAGGTTGATAGCAGTAGTGGTAATAGCAGGATAAAAGAGGAAATTAAAGGGATCAGGAGTGAAATTGACAACATTTAAAAAAATGGTCTTTCTCAAACAAAAATATTATGAAATCGGGGATAAATCAGCTAAGTTACTAGCATACAAGCTACGTAAGCAGAGAGTGGAAAGTGCAATTTACAAAATAAAACACCCATTTACTAAAACAGTGGAAAATAAACTTGAAAAGATCCAGGAGAGTTTTGAACTATTCTATAAAGACTTGTATTCACAACCCCGATTGTCTAATGAGCTAAATATAGAAGATTTTCTGAAAACATTACATTTACCAAAATTAACAAACTTTCAAAATGCAGGACTGGTGCAACCTATAACAGTCAATGAACTTAATCTGGCTATTTCTAAATTAAAGGCTGGGAAGGCACCAGGCTCAGACGGTTACACCACTGAGTGGTATAAAACATTTAAAGAAGAATTGTCACCTGTTCTACTTCGCACCTTTAACTGGATTATATTAAATGGAAGAATTCCCCCATCGTGGAACGAGGCTATTATTTCTGTAATACCAAAGGAAGGCAAGGATAAGCAAAATTGCAGCAGTTATCGTCCAATTAGTGTACTCAACTTAGATTATAAAATTTTCACAGCAATAATAGCAAGAAGGTTGGAAAAAGTTCTACCTGCACTAATTCATCTTGACCAGTGTGGTTTTATTCAACAGAGACAGACCTCAGACAATATACGGCGCGCTTTACATGTGATTGGACAGATCAACAAGGACAAGTCAAAGGCGGTCCTGGTAGGATTGGATGCTGAAAAAGCCTTTGATTCTGTCAGATGGGTATTTCTCTATAAGACACTGAATGGGTTTGGTTTTGATGATAACTTCATTTCTATAATAATGTCCCTTTACAGTAAGCCGATAGCCCGGGTAAAGATAAATGGAGATGTCTCTGGCTCGTTTCCTCTGGAGCGGGGAACGAGACAGGGATGTCCGATTTCTCCCCTGCTATTTGCACTCTACATTGAGCCTCTGGGTCAATGGATACGACAATCTGAGGATATAAAGGGGGTAAAGGTGGCAGAGAAAGAACAAAAAGTGGCAATGTTTGCAGACGATGTCCTAGTGTTTCTGGAGGAGCCTGGGGAATCATTTGTGAGGTTGATGTATTTGCTAAATAGTTTTGGGAGGATGTCTGGTTACAAGCTAAATGTATCCAAAACTCAAGTAATGGCTTTCAATTACAGTGTTTCAAAACCTCTTAAGGAAAAATACAATCTGGATTGGGAGGCAGTATCTTTAAAATACTTGGGTATAAATCTAACTAAGGACATTTCTAAGTTATTCCAATTAAACTATGATCCATTATCATTAGCAATTAAATCTGACATTCAGAGGTGGAATCTTGTCCCGTTTCTTAATCTAAATTCAAGAATTACTGCAGTCAAAATGAATATACTCCCGCGCCTGCTTTACTTGTTCAGAACACTACCAATTATTGTGAGTGAGAGTCAGTTTAAGGAATGGGACAAGTGGATTTCTCGCTTTATATGGCAGGGGAAAAAACCGAGAATCAGATATAATGTTCTACAATTACAAAAAGCTAGAGGTGGAGCATCACTCCCATGTTTACAGTATTATTACTATGCTTCGCAGATTACTACTATACTGTATTGGTGTAACCCGCACTACCAAGCCAATTGGAAGACAATAGAAACTAGTTTATCAAAAATCCCTTTATCAGCAGTGATTGCGGACAACCACCTGGCTGAGCAGGTGGAAGGTTTAAGCTTTTGGATTGATCACACGTTAAAAGTGTGGCATAAAGTAGCCAGAGTTTGTGACATTGGTGGTGTTCTGAACAACTTTCGTTGGGTCGCTTATGATTCAGATTTCCAGCCGAACAAAACTGATAAAAGGTTCCACGCCTGGATTGAGAAACAATTAACTTCATACCTCTCATTCACACACAAGGGAGCATTGCGCAGCTTTCAGTCCCTGCAATCAGATTTTGGTTTGGAGCAGGCAGATTTCTTCAGGTTCCTCCAGATGAGGGATTATTACAACAAACATTGTAAAAACTCAAACCTAACAGCAGTGGAGGCAGACTTCTTCAAGATCTTAAAATCAGCTCACAGTGATTCAATAAGGAAGGCAATCTCAAAGTTATACAATGGATTATTAAATGAAAAAAAGGATAATACCACACACATTAAGAATAAGTGGGAACAAGAAGCACAAATTAATATCTCTGATGGGGATTGGGAGGAGGTCTGCCTCTTTCAATGGACTTCAACCAATTCTTTGAACTGGCGAGAGCACTGCTGGAAAAATGTCACAAGATACTTTATATCGCCACAGCAAAGTAAATTTAGGAACAAAACAGCAGAGTGCTGGAGAAAATGTGGTTCCTCGGAGGCAAACCATTTTCATATATTCTGGGAGTGTCCTCTTTTAAAACAATACTGGGTGGGAGTCCATAAAACATTGAATAAGGTCTTCCAGGAGCAAATATCTAACGATTTTGCATGTTTGTATTTGGGTTTGGCTCCAGCATTGGTTCGGAGGGGAGACATAAGGCTGCTGCAGGCTCTTTTGGCTGCGAGTAAAAAATCTGTTACTAGAAAATGGCTGAATTCAACACCACCATCACTAGAGGACTGGTATGGGACAATTTTAGAAATATTCAAAATGGAAAAATTGACATACGCTTTACAAACACAAATGGATACATTCTACGCAATTTGGAACAAATGGATCGATTTTACTTCCCCCTCCCGAAAGGGCTTTTCTTGATTCTAATTGCATCTGATGTTTATTGTAAAAACATGTTTTCCTTTTGTTGTAACAAGTAAGAAATTGAAATTCTAGGCACCCATTGGTTTTGTTCTGCTTCCTTTTGTTTTGTTTTTTACTTTTATTTTGTTTTTTACTTTTATTTTATTTAGTTTTTCTTTATAATTTACATTATTACCAAAATGTGAGAAGGATTACAAAATGAAAAAATATCGATGATACGTTTTTGTAATGTTGTGACCCTTTTCTTAATAAAAATCTAAATATTAAAAAAAAAAAAAATCTTACAATGTGAATTCCTGGATTTTTTTTTCACATTCTGTCTCTCACAGTTGAAGTGTACCTATGATGAAAATTACAGACCTCTGTCATTATTTTAAGTGGGAGAACTTGCACAATCGGTGGCTGACTAAATACTTTTTTGCCCCACTGTATGCACTGTTCCGTGGGTCTGTTTCAACCAATTTGGGATAAATGTAAGAATGATGGAGATGAAAAACTGACTCCTTCAAGAATATATGAATGACTCAAATAAATTGAATCTTTTGAAGCAAGAAAGATGCAAAATTGAGGAAAATAGAAGAAAATAAATTATATTACAAATATTAACCTATGTGATGTTCTTTCTTGTTCTCATAAGCCATTGAGGTTTCCACGGAGACGGACGAAGAGGACACTGGGGAGGAGTTGGACAATATTGCTGGTAAGTAAGTGAGGGGACATTGGGGTGGATGGTCTCCAGGCAGTGTGACGGTTGCAACCATAGATCTTGCATCGGAAGAGGACTAATTGTGTCATAGAGTATGGCTATTGAAGAAGATGACAAAGTCTGGGATCGCGTCTTTAATTCAGACAGAAGACATGTTTTATTGTCGATGGTAGAGACAGCACGAACAAAGCACACGAACAACAGAATGCAAGTGTATTATACAGAGCGGAGGCATGGAGACCTCCAATCAGCAGCTGCCACGGTGCCATGTAGCTTGGCCTTCAGATAGACAAAACAAGGGAAAAGTACTGGCTTCTGCACATTGATAGAATGATGAGTTTAACTTTAACAAAAGTTGCTTAAAAGTGTTATAAAATCTCACACTATCACTCAAAGACACTATTTTGAGCTGCTACGACATTCCCATGGGCTCCAACCAAAGAGCCAATCAGGAGCGAGGCTGATCCCTTTGCGTTCGCTCTCGCTGCAGGGATTTAAGGTCATTGTTTGGTCATATCTTATATTTAATATAAGATTGCAATAGAAAAATTACACTTATCAGATTGGTCATAATACTGGGTATTTCCAAATGTAATAACTAGTTATGTTATATTTTTTTTGCTTAACCATATGCTCTGAGTTTGAATGGACACGCTTATAATACTAGCAGTTTATCTGAACAGAAATAAGTGTTATTATAACTGTAGGTAACAATATACAAGTATGTCAGGCACACGGCCACACGCTAAATATGGCCTGTAAGATGGAAGAATTTGGTACAGCAGATAAAAGGTAAATCCTCGATCAATATATTGGTTATTCTGACCAATATCGGCTTAACTGGGAATGATTTTGAGCTTTTCTAAGCAATGTGTTTTTAGTGTTTCTGTGTGTAGTTTATGGATAGTGAATAGAAATGGCCGGCAGCTTCATATTGTTGCATAATTCAATTTTGTCCAGGAAAGAAGAAAGGGAAGGAAGAAAATCAAAATTTCTATTCAAACATTTATTTTCCTGTTACAAAAAATGCTGATCATCTCTCCCTGCCCTGTCCCTGTGTCCTAAACCCGAGCTCTGAGGGTGCTCAGATCTGATGAACAACAAACAATTTCCTTAACAAATGCACATTAATATTGCGCAGAAGCTCCATCCAACCAGTAGCTTCATTCACGCTGCAACCCTCCTCCTCCCCATCTCTGCCTCGTTCTAGGCCAGCTCAATCAATCAATCAAATTTCATTTATAAAGCGCTTTTCGTAAAAAAAAAATTCAACACAAAGTGCTTTACACTTGTGTACACCCACCGCCCCACAGACTTACCCAAACCCACATTTATTATTAAATATACACCCAATCCAATCCAATCCAACCCACTTTATTTCTATAGCACATTTAAACAACAGAACAGTTCCAAAGTGCTGCACACAAAAAAGTACACAAAAAAATGAGCATACACACACCCACATGCGCATGCACGTACGCACACACACACATATATAAAGTCACATCACATCAGGTAAAATAGGTGCAGATGTAACCAGCTGAAGAAGCGCCATCCAAGGAGCCATCTGCACCACCAGGCAGGAGCAGAGAGCCGGCAGCAGCCACAGGGGACGACGCAGGACCCAGAGGAGAGAGGAGGCCCCGGACCCCCACTAGATCCAAGAGCCAGATCCCTGCAGCCACAGCAGACCTCAGCTCCCAGTGCAGATAGCTCCTTCAGAGGAAACACTGGGGATACTAAAACAACACAATAATACAATAGAAAGTAGAACATTAAAATGTGACACTAAAAAGAAAATGGCAGCTGCCTAATATTGATAATAACAATAGTAAATAACAAAATAGATCAAATATATAAATAAAAAGCAAAATAAAATGTGTCTCAAAACATAAATAAATGAACTAAAATGCAAAAATAATAAATACTAATCAAAAGCTAATCTAAAAGGTGTGTCTTGAGCCTGCTTTTAAAAACATGAATGTTCTCTGCGGCCCTGAGCTCTTTCATCCTTCTCCTAAACTACCACCACCATGGTCTAAGCCCCAGGGGGATCTCATCTCATAATCTCTTTCCCCCTCTGCAATTGTGCAGTGCTCTGCCGGGTTCAAAGCGGCAACTTCTAACCAAATTCTGTACAGTACCATACAGTTAATCGGGAAAATAATGTCCTCAGTGTCATATATGTTCGCAATTTTTAGAATGATCTATTTATTAGTTTTGTCTGTATGGATGGATGTGTTTCTGCTGCTACTGGACACCTGAATTTCTCTGACGGAGGATCAATAAAGTTTCTATCTAGAGTATCTACGTGTAATTTATGTAGTGTCAGATTACTTGCCAAACAACATACAATTCTAATACCCATGTTTTGTATGTTCGAATCTCTCCAGATTGAAATAAACGTGTGTGTGTGTGCAGAGACTGTCCTACAGCGACTCTCCAGTGGCCTGCGATTCTGCTGGGTGCTGGTGTCCGCTCTTCTGGACTCGCTGACCACATGGTTGCGGGGCCTGTGTCTCGAGCACATCCACATCTCCACTGTTCTCCGCATAGAGAGGTGTATGCTCACGCAGCAGGCCCGCCAGGTGACTCCAACCCTTCTGATATGATCGTTTTGACCTCTCATTTACCAAGTTAAGCCTGCATGTTTGAGTAGTTGCTAAGCTAATGTATTTTAAACGCCATACGTTCACCTTCCCTAGTGCAGGTAGAAGGGCAGCGATCAGGTAACTCGCCATCCAGTGTTTGGTGAGTGACCCTGAATAGCCTATTCATTCATTTTCATCCCCTTTCCCTCCAAGAGTCATTTTGGGGAACTTTCCTCGCCTGGTGTTTTGTGTGTAAAATTGCTCATAAAACAGTCATCTTTTGATGCAGAGTCAAGCAGTATACTTTGTTTTTTTCAGTACAACCTGGGGTTTCAGAATATTCATACTGTAGAGCTGTCATATCAATTATATAATGATTATGGAATCATGAAGACAAAGAAAAAAATGAAACGGAAAATCAATTTCACAAAATTGTATTGAAAAAACACAATTAAATGCTATAAACAACTTTTTAGACTCCATAGAAATGTTATATAAAAATTCCACTATAAAAGCTAAAAACGCTGTACTCCTGATGCCCTTCCTCAAGCAGTTTGTCTATGAGGCTGTGGTTGCTTCTGTATCACAGCTGTAAAATACGTAAAACAAAACAAACTAAGACAAAAAAAAATTATATCTAATTTATATATACAAATACATATATTATGTGTATTATATACACATAATATCATTTTACTGTATTTATTATTGTCTATTCTCAATAATGCGCACTCCTCTGGTTCCTCTGAGCGCTGCTGCCTATGCAGCAACAAGTACACACAGAGGAGTGAGAGATCCTACTCTCTGACGATCTTTGTGCGAGTCCCCGTTTGAGTAAACAACTTTACAATTGGCTGTGTGAAGCTCACGGGGCACCACTCGAAGATCTGATTGGGGGACTGACTTCAGTGCTGCCACCCATGTCTCAAAGACAAGACAAATTCCTAAAGAAAAATATCAAAACATTAAATTTGTCCAAAAATCAGTCATCGTCAAAAGAAATAGCATCAGCTTTAAAAAATAACTAAGGCAAGGCAAGTTTATTTGTATAGCACAATTCATACACAAGGCAACTCAAAGTGCTGAACAAGATAGCATAAATAATCACAGAACATTAAAACGAAAGATAAAAATATAAAATCCCTCAGTTGTATGCACAGCTAAACAGAACTGTCTTTAACCTGGTTTTAAACATTGTCAGAGAGGAGGCCTGTCTCACATCTTCAGGAAGATTGTTCCAGATTTTAGCAGCATGAATCTGAAAAGCAGCCTCCCCATGTTTAGTTCTGACTCTGGGCACTAACAGGAGTCCCAGTCCCTGTCCTCAGAGTCCGGGCTGGTTCATATGGGACTAACATGTCACTAATATATTTTGGTGCGAGGCCATGGAGAGACTTGTACACAAGCAGAGCTGTAAGAGAAAAATCATGAATACTATTTATAAGAAAGACAAACACTTTAGGTAATAGCTCTTCTTAATGATAATCTAAATCAAAGTGAAGCAACAGTGGAATCAAAATGTCAGTCAAAAACTAAGAATTGCTTGCAAAAATTGTACAATTTGGAAATATACATATAAATGATGTTGCACAACAGATTGGAGATTTCATTGCTTCAAAAATGTTTGAAGAACAAATACCAAAATCTATTGTCAAAAAAGAAAAAAAAATGGCTATTACACCAAAAAGAGCTAATATGATAAAGTACTGTAACTCTGACTACCGCAACGGTACGGGCAATGAAAACAACAAAATTAAACTTAGGAGAGGACAACATTAAAAGTCAAATTAATTAAAATTCAAAATGTTCAAAAGCAATGCAAGTTTAATTGTATAGCGCAGTTCATACACAATACATCTCAAAGTGCTTAACCCTTCTCCTACCCTCGGGTCAAATTGACCCGCCACAGTGATTAAAAAATAAGCTGAACAACTAAATGACCAGCCCTGGGTCATTTAGACCCTTTTAAACCATAGTTTAGGATGTATCTTATCTTTGTATTTTATACTTTAAGTGTGTACATATTCACAGATATGTACAGTCCTGAGTACCTATATATATAGGGCGGCACGGTGGCTGAGTGGATAGCACTCTCGCCTCTCAGCAAGAAGGTCCTGGGTTCGAATCCCGGTCGGACCAGGGCCTTTCTGAGTGGAGTTTGCATGTTCTCCCCGTGTCTGCGTAGGTTTCCTCCGGGTACTCCGGTTTCCCCTACCACTAAAAATATGTCCAATAGTTCTGGCATGCGCCTCCTGTACTGGCGACCCCGCTCCCATCTCTGTGTGGAGTGAGAGACAAATGCCCAAAAATTGACAATTGTAAACCGCTTTGAGACTCAGATCTGCAGTGAAAAGGCGATATATAAATACAAACTTACTTACTTACTTACTTACTATATCCAGATTGGCTTGGGACCAAATAAGCATTTGCTTCATCATTGTCTGTTACATTGATATATGTAAAATATGTATTGTATAAATAAATAAATAAATGTATAAATCTATTCTCACAATATTATCTTATTATTATTCTTATTTTCAGATTGCTACTTTAATGTTCATCCTATGCAAGCTACAACGCAATTTCCCCTGTGGATCAATAAAGTCTGTCTAAGTCTAAGTCTAACTAATCCTTCTACTTTTAATCATCTGTGGCCGATCCTTTTGACCCGAGGGTAGGACAAGATGGAAACAATACAAGGAAGTTAATCATAAATAATCACAGTACATTAACACGGGTGAAGATAAAATCCCTTTGTAATCACAGCTAAACAGAAATGTTTGTAACCTGGATTTGAACTTTGTCAGAGAAGATGCCTGTCTCACATTTTCAGGAATACTGTTCCAGATTTTAGGTAAGTACCTTAAACATATAGTAAAAATAGTACACAAACAGGTCAGTTCCAAAAACAAGTAAACAGAATAATGGAGAGACTTCAGAACATTTTATCTGCATACATTTGAAATGCTGCCTCCTAATGTTTAATTCTGACTCTGGGTATCAGCAGGAGGCCAGTCCCTATGCTCCTCAAGAGTCCCAACAGGAGGCCAGTCCCTCAGCTCATATGGTTCATATGGCTCTAACATTTCACAAAGTACCTCAGTGCGAGTCCATGGAGAGATTTGTAACAAGCAGAGTTGTTTTAAAGTCTATTCTCTGAGCCACAGGAAGCCAGTGCAGAGACCTGAGGACTGGACTAATGTGGCCGTACTTCCTGGTTCTTCCAGCTGCTGTGTTTTAGATATACAGCAGTTGTTTTACAGCTTGTTACAGTAGTCTAACCTACTGGAGACAAATGCATGGATAAGAATCTCAAAGTCTGCTTTAGATACTATGTTTTTGATCATGGCAAAGTTTTTAAATAGTAAAAAGCTGCTGATGTTACTGAGTCTGGCTTGATGTGTTGTTGTCTGTGTCCATTATTAGTTTATTAGTTGTATTATTAGTTTTAGGGAGAGGAGACATATGACACTTTTTTCTGGGGATCAAAGACAATCATTTCAGTATTTTTCCGGGAATGTTGTTTTGCATCCACTCACTGATCTGTTAGATACAGAGTCCACTGGTCCATATTCTGCTGAAGTCAGTGAGACATAGATCTGAATGTTGCCTGCGTAGTTGTGATAAGACAGGTTGTTATTGTGTATTAACTGACCTAACGGCAGCATGTAGAGATTGAACAGACGAGGTCCCAGGATCGACCCCTGTGGTACTCCACAGGTCAGGGCCATATGATCTGAGTTTCCAATCTCCATAAAGTGCTCAGAACTGATAACTGTTTTATCTACCAGGGCTTGGCTCCGTCTCGAGAAGGCATTCACCTGTACTACCAGCAACAGCTGAAGAGGAGTTCCAAGGAGTCCGGACTAGACCACAGAGATACTGATACTGATTGGACTCAGACCGGACCAGATCGGACCGAAGCAAGGTTCAACAAACGGGGACCCTGTGAACCAGGAGCCACTCACACAGACACTGGAGGAGAGCATAGTCCTGTGCCAAGCCACACTGAAATGTACTTGTGTGAAGAAGTCCCTATTGAAGAAGGCCACGGTGAGCCTGAGTGCACTGAACCGAGCCAAACTGGACCAAGCTTTACTGAAGTGGGATATTATGGACCAGGCCAGAGTGAAAAGGACAATAATGAAATGCACCACACTGATCTAAGCCATACTGCACCATGCCACAATCTACCAATTCAAATTGAACTAGGCCAGACAGAACCAGACAAGTATGGACCATGCCACACTGGACCCTGCCAGAAAGAAACAGGCCATTACGGATCATTCCGCACTGGACTAGTTCAGACTGAAATGGATTATGAACCGAGTCAGACAAAAAAAAGTCCCTCTGATAAAGACCAGACCCAAGCAGTTCAGTCTGAACTACAGCACTGTGAACCGGACCAAAGCAGTCCAGAAGACACTGGAAGAGAACACATTGGAATATTACACACTGAACTGATGCTCACTGAACCAACTCACACTGACCCAGGCCACGCTGACCCAGGCCATGCTGACCCAGGACGCGCTGTCCCAAGCCACAATGACCCAGGACACGCTGTCCCAAGCCACACTGACCCAAGCCACGCTGACCCGAGCCACGCTGACCCAAGCCACGCTGATCCAAGCCAAGCTGACCCAGGCCACGCTGATCCAGGCCTTGCTGACCCAGGCCACGCTGACCCAGGCCACGCTGACCCAGGCCATGCTGACCCTAGCCACGCTGATGTAAGCCATGCTGACCCAGGCCATGCTGACCCAACCTGCTTTGAACCAGATCAGGCTGAGAGTGAGCAGGAGCTGAGCCGACCTGGGACTCCCCATAGGGCAGATCATACTGAGCCGAGCAACAATGAGGACACACCCCACCTCTGTGGACTGGAAGAGGGTGGACCCACAGAGTGGATCAAAGACCATCATGGTAGGGGAAATAATAAGGCTGTGTTCACAACTTCCCACAGTTCTTAAATTTTCCTTTTAACTTTTTATTTTGAGGACAGTTTTTAATTTGTAGTCCCAAGAATTGTGTTAAAACCAGCCCAAAAAATAAAACCATTACTGCGGCAGTACAATATGGCACGCTTAGGTTGGAGTTCTATTGGGAGAGATGTGGGAGTCATGTTTTATATATTAGTTTATTTTCATATTTAGTTTTCTGTTATTTATTATGTTATTTGAAAGGGGACATTACACATTCATCAACGTGTAACAGCTGTAACTGTTTGTATTCTCTTGACAAGGTGTAAAAGGCCAGCAAAAAACACTGCAAACAAAACAAGATACAAAAATATAGCTACATATTCAGTAACGTTAGTTTAATGATACAGTTTATTTATTTCAGAACATGGATGTTACACGCTTGATGGTCCAATAACCATGTGTCCCACGTGTGTTTAAAGTCCTGAGTGTAGCTCTTTCGTCTGTGAACTGGTTCTGTGTTCCAAACCTGGACGGAGCTCTGAGCGCTGATTGGCTGAAGGCTCTTTTTCTCACTGGAACAACTGGATTCTTTGAGGCAGTAGATCTGCTGTTTCTGCTGCTCTGCTCAGACAGATTAGAAAGTGCTGATGAGGCCATTTCAAATTTGAAAACCAAGCAATTGCAGTTGATTTGAGGAGAACGTTTACAGCATAAGTATAAAAAATGAGAAGATTCAACACTGTCTCGGGTATGTCCGGTATGACCTTTCCATTGGCATTCAAATTGTTATTGTTGCAGAGATGAGCGTGCAGCTGTCCTCTGTGAAGAGCTCAGGACAGCAGCACAGACCCAGGCTGCTGAAGATGAGGAGGGTGAGGTCATCATCTTCATCAGAGGCAGAGGACGAGCTCTCACACAGGTCTGACATCTGCATGTGTCTCACTTTGAAACTAAGAATACAAAGTTGAATTGATGTGTTTGATATTGTAGCGTTTTTATTTGCTACAACGACTAAACATGGACCCATTCCAGGGATTTCCTTTATGGTTTAGTGTAAAACACTGTATTGGAAGAACAGCCAAGATGTCCTGTGTCTGTGTGTAATCAAAGACAGCGGCTCTGTAATGGTCTCAGGGGTTTAGAGAATATTGTGGAGCTGCATATGACGGCACGTTAAATCCAAAGAACACACCACACAGGTCCGGGATAAGGCTCTGGAGAGGTATAAAGCCATACAAAGATTTCCAAATCTTGTTTAATCCATCATCTGAGAATGGAAAGGTATGACACAACTGCAAATCTACCAAGACGCGGCTGTCTGTCTAGCTTGAACAAGGAAAACAGTTACAACAGATGCAACACGAGGCCCATGGTTTCACAAATACTCGCTGTCTAATCCAGTGCTTCTGGCTCTCACTTCTGTCAGGGCAACCATGGTTAGAGTAGTAGTTATTTACCAAAGTGTACAGTAAGTACAGTAAAGAGTGGATGAATAATGCCATGTGAAGAATATTTAAAAAAGCCTGATATAAAACCAAAGCATTAGTATTGTTATTTATTTGAGTGTAAGTCCTTGATTGTCTTATTCTTTGTCCGTTCTCTAGCTGCAGTCATCTGCCTCCCTCTTACAGCCTGGCTCTAGGTTTGGACCGGGCCCCTGAGCTCCTGCAGAGAATAGAAGGGCCCCTGGAATCACCTCTATCCCTTAGCCGCACCCAGGAACTGACGGCCAGTGAGCTGCTGCAAAACAGGTTCTCTACTGCGATGATATCCTCACAGAAACAGAATTTGACTGGTCACAATTAGCTTCTTATTCAAAATTACATCAAATGTTGCTACATAAATTTTTAAATAACACCTTCGCTTTCAAACATGTTATGAAATAATTGTGATAAATTTGTAGATAGACTAAAATAGTGTTCATATTTGTTTATTCGAACACATTAACTGGACCGCACACATTAATTTCCATCTCAATCAGGGGTCTCAAACATTTTTAGATTAGAGCTATTTTTACAGTGAATATTGTAGACAATGATTAAGACATTACATCTTTTGCCATATTAGAAAACAGTTCTTGCTTGAAATAATGGGTTGAAAAGTGACATGATCTACGTTCATTAAGAATTGCAATGTCATGGCTTTTCAGTAAAAACGCATTTATATATGTCACAAATGCTGCCACTGTAGTAATGTGGTCTTCCCTCAGGACGTTCTACAACGAGGAGCTCGAGGCCTCAGACTCTTTCTTCTCTCAGCAGCCTCAGCTTCTGCAGCTCTGCTACACACTTTACAACATCCTGGCAGCGAGGTACGGCCACACATGCACTGTTATGTCCAAGTTTAAATGTGTTTCATGGTCTTCTACATTATAGGGACAGAACATTCACAATAAAAGTTATTGTTGTTTTCTCTTTTTATTCACACAATTGCATTCTCTCCACCTGGTTCCTCTGACCACCTTCTTCGACTGTGCAATTTGTTTTTCTCAATGGTAAAGACATCCTACATTTCCAATATAAATGGTATAATGCAGATGACAGTATTAAGTTCAGAGGAAATAGTAATATATATTTAGGCCCACAGGCTTAATGATTGATTGAATTTTACAAAACAATTATGTGTGAATAATATCAGCATGATATGACTTATTAGTAAAAAGCAGTTGAACTTCATCCCTTAAAAGAACAAACACATCTGTGTTTCATTATATGTTGGTCACTTATAATGCGTGATTTTAAAACACAGCTTGTTTTCCAGCTCCTGTCCCTCGAACATGTGAACTGTGCCATAGGATATATTCCAACATTTTTGTTACATCTTTAGTGGATGTTGCTTACACTCAAATATGCTGTTCTAAATTTAATTAAATGGTAAGCACATGCAACTGAGTCCGACCCTCCTCAATATATCCCCCAAAGTGGGATAGTGTCTTCCATTCATTTAAATAAAGGGAGACAGCAAGCTAGTTTGCTCTGGTCTACCCTATAAGAATGCATACCCTATAAGAATGCTCTGGTCTACCCTATAAGAATGCATACTTTCTATCTATCTTTCTTTGTATCTAAAGCCTTAAAGCATTTCCTCTTAGGAGAGTGGTTGTCTAGGAAGAAGTTCTGCTCATACACTTCTAGAACCCTCAGGGAAGCAGCCCTGCCGCTCGGTGTCATGGCCTTTGGACTAGGATTTGTTTCCCGTGTAACAGGTCTGAGGCGGTGTGCTTCCTGGTCATGGTGGTGAACCACATGGTGTCTGCATCCTGTCTGACCCTGGTGTTGCCCGTGCTGGTCTTTCTCTGGGCCTCACTCTCTGTGCCTCGGACGAGTAAGAGCTTCTGGATGACGGCCATCATCTACACAGAGGTCACTATTGTCATCAAGTACTTCTTCCAGTTTGGATTCTTTCCTTTCAATCAGAAGCTGGAGGTTGACCGCTCTAAGCCCTTCCATCCTCCCAACATCCTGGGAGTGGAGAAGAAAGAGGGCTATGTCATCTACGACCTGCTGCAGCTGCTGGCGCTCTTCTATCATCGAGCAATTCTCAAGGTACGAGCCACACTTACTCCATACCAGTGAGGGAACTGTTCAGTGTACATGACAATTCACACACGTACACACACACATACACACACTGTGGGCTCTCCTTTTGTACTTTATCTCTACAATAAGAAGCTGAACGTGTCCATCACATAAACTGTATATAGATGGTAAAAGGTTAGCATTGGGAAGTGCTCATGGGAAGTGCTCATGGGAAGTGCTCATGGAGGTGGAAGTGTTGCTCCTACTCTCTGTGGCTCTTATCAACTTGCATTGAAAAGTAAAATTTTCCTGTTTCTGAAATAAGGCAACACTACTGAAATTACTGAAATGTACTGAAATGTCTCCACTGTGAGACGAATAAAGGTTTATCTTATCTTATCTATGGATGTTGTTAGCACCTGGGCTGTGCACAGTCTACTGCTGGAAGTTGAGCCGCTGCTCCTGGACATGGACTTGTGCCAGGTTATGAGGAGAAAGGTGTTTGTTGTGCCTCTTGGATGGTTTCAAGGGAGGCATTCTGCAACAACAAATCGTTGTGTCGCGCAACTACGGACTATGGACGCACTTTCACTAAATATCAGCTGGATGAGTTAAGTCAGGCTGTACTGCTGCTGTACTTTCCGGGACGGAAGTGGTGGGCGGGCTTTGACGCTAACGCTGGTACTTCCGCATTGGCGAACACGTTAGCAGCACTAGTTTACAGTCACAGTAGAATGTCAACTCAGGGTGAAGACATATATATGGAAAGTTTTTTGTGTCATCAGATTTAGAATTTTTTTTAGCTTGAATTTTTCCATTTGAAATTTTTAACCCTGAAAAGGCATGTTTGAATATTTTTATCTTTGCATTTCAATCACTAAAAATTCAGTTTACAAATTTCAATGTTATTAAAATTTCAAAATGACATATTCACCCAAAAATGTCAATGAAAAAAACAAAACGGATTATTTGTTCCATCAGAAATTGAATTTTTAATGGACCTGAATTCATCTATTTGAATGTTTTTAACATATTGAAATATTAAATGGTGAAAAATGCACATGACACATCCGGTGCTCTGTCAGTTGATCTGTCAGTTGGTCTGTCAGTTGGTCTGTCAGTTGATCTGTCAGTTGGTATGTCAGTTGGTCTGTCAGTTGATCTGTCAGTTGGTCTGTCAGTTGATCTGTCAGTTGCTCTGTCAGTTGGTCTGTCAGTTGTTCTGTCAGTTGGTCTGTCAGTTGATCTGTCAGTTGCTCTGTCAGTTGGTCTGTCAGTTGATCTGTCAGTTGATCTGTCAGTTGGTCTGTCAGTTGATCTGTCAGTTGGTCTGTCAGTTGATCTGTCAGTTGCTCTGTCAGTTGCTCTGTCAGTTGCTCTGTCAGTTGCTCTGTCAGTTGCTCTGTCAGTTGGTCTGTCAGTTGCTCTGTCAGTTGCTCTGTCAGTTGCTCTGTCAGTTGCTCTGTCATTTGGTCTGTCAGTTGCTCTGTCAGTTGGTCTGTCAGTTGTTCTGTCAGTTGGTCTGCCCATGCGTCATTTTACTGAGGTAAACAGGCGCTAGCTTTCAGCAGGTTTATCGGTTGATAACATGAATCTAACAGGTTGATATGGGATTTCTAATGAATGGATTGTAATGAAACCAAGGCAAATAACAAGATGATACTACATTAGTTTGTAGTAGTAGTATTGTATTTGTGAGTTAGTCTTTTGAACATTTTGGGTAAATGTGCTCGTTTCAAATCATTATTGCTGTATATTCCTGTTTATTTATTTAGTCTGTGTGTGTTTGTTTGTGTTCATGAAAACCATCACATTTGAACTTTTATAGCAACAAAGGACAGTGTTATTGTTGGTAACGTTACACAGTATTTGGGTCTAGTTTCCCGTGTAGCAGTTTCCACAGGGCTCACTTGTGTTACTTGAAAAAGAGCTCCATGTAAAGGAATTAACAAAAAACATGTATTCCACAGCTCGAACTCTTGTACTAAATGATATTTGCTGAGTTGTCTCTGAAATAAAGTAACAACGGTAAGAACACCGTATGGCTTCTTATTTCTTGAGCTGTGAAAAGTTACTCTCTCTCTCTCTCTCTCTCTCTCTCTCTTAAAGTGACAGTAACGTAAATATTCTAATTTAACAAAATCTGCATTAGTTCTAAAGGGTCTAATGTAGATAACGAGAGATTCCAACGTCAGTGAAGAGAAAACAGAGTTCATTATGCGCAGCCCAACTGACAGACCAACTGACAGAGCACACAACTCGTCAGAACACCGGATGCGTCATGTGCATTTTTCACCATTTAATTTTTTTTCGTGGAATTTTGACTGTTGAATTTAACATTATGAAATTGATAATCAGTGACTGAAATTCACAGAAAAAAATATTCAAGATGTTAAAAACATTCAAATAGATGAATTCAGGTCCATTTAAAATTCAATTTCTGATGGAACAAATAATCCGGTTTTTTTTTCATTGAAAAAAAAATTTGAATATTTGGAAGGTGAATATGTCATTTTGAAATTTTAATCACATTTAAATTTGTAAACTGAATTTTTAGTGACAGAAATGTAAAGACAAAAATATTCAAACATGCTTCTTCAGGGTTAAAAAATTCTAAATCTGATGACACAAAACATTTTTCCATACATATATTCACAAGCACCCCATTGCTCTCTGATTGGCTGCCGCACGTGTGAGGAGTGAGTATGTTCAATCCAATCCAATCCATTTTATTTATATAGCACATTCTATAAAACAATTTTCCAAAGTTCTGCACAAAGAGAAAAGTAACACATTTAAATATAGAGGCATTGCTGTATATGTATCACGAATAGAATAGGTAAAGCAATTATGATGTGTACAGTTACAGTATCCAATACAATAAAAACAATAAAATGAATAAAACAGATAAAACAGAGGACCATATAACTCACGCGGTACTAAAACGAGGGAGCTGTCTTGACGTGGGGGGCAGAGCGTTCCACAGCTTTGGTCCAGCCACAGAGAGGGCCCTGTCCCCCAGGCCTCGGCCCCACGAGCTGGAGCTGGCCCTCGGACCTCAGCGTGCAGGGTGGGTGATACATTTGGATGAGATCTGAGATGTACTGTGGGGCGAGTTCATTCAAAGCTCTAAAAATAAACATTAAAAACTTAAAATCAATGTTCATCTCCTGCTTTTGCTGCATGCATCTCGCCGCTGAAAACGTGCCGCGACGTCCATGCAATTCCTCTGATGGACGGACATCACCGTTGACTTTGCATTGAAACTCACCGCAGCATAATCCACTCAGACATACATGTCTGTGAGTGTGCGTCAAATTTTAATGTGAAAAAAATCCTGTATTTGTATTTTTTCTTTTATCATTTATTTATTGTTCTGACTGCTCGGGTCCCTTTTAAACAATAAAAAATACCTATTTTTGTACACTTTACTTTAAAAAAAAAGCCAATATTTGGAAGATACTGCATAGTATACATTTGTATGTTATTTGTGTTGGTCCATGGCCACGTTTTTGAATGACATTTAAAATGTGTCTTTTGTTTTTTTATCCAATGAAAGAAATAATTGACAGATTTACAGATTAATAGATTATTCTTATAGTTGCAGCCCTATTCCAGACATTTCCCACTGGGCTGTGACTCCCAGCTCAATGAGCAGCAGGAAGAGTGTGTTGATATGGAATCTCTTGCTCCATGTCCCGGCCATAAAGCAGAAGAAAATGTATTGGTGGACTCAACATCCAAAACTAGACTGACTAATTACAGACTGGGCCCACGTTGGCCTTGTGCTGTCTTCTACCAGTCCCCTCTTTTACAAGAGGGTTGGGTCCTTTCCCTTGCAGATCATTTCATTTCTGTGCGGTGTCATTTCCCCTCTGTGGTACAAATAAAGGATCTTATCTTATATTGTCTTAGTGTAAAATGTCCCATGGAGTGAACAATGTGTTTGAAGACACTACCCTCAGTCTCATAATGTACCCTGTGTTCCCTCTGTTGACAGGTCCATGGTCTGTGGGATCAGAACGACCCTGAGGCTGAACTTCCCAACAGCCAGCTGAGCTCGAACCATGCCTCCTGCTCAGAGCCACCGGCGGGAACTCCTACCGCGGACAGAAGGGAGCAGCCTGCCTCCTCCCCCCAGTCTTCAGCAGGTATATTATTACCTACAGAAGAGTATAGGACTAATGGGTGTTGAAATATTGTTTTGCAGATAAATCAGAATACATAATCAAGCAATTTTTGTATTGATTAAAATTACAGGGGATTTTTTTTTTTTTGGTGACTATTTATTTGTTCAGTATTTTCCTGTGGCATTGGTTTTAAACCCCCCCCCCCTCCCGACCCAGAAATGGATTAAGGGGAAGAAAAGGGATGGATGAATATCATGTTAAAAGACTTTTCAAGATTTAAAGTCTTCATGGCTTATACAAAGATTTCCAAAATGTTGAATTTCTCTCAGAGAACTGCAAAGACCCAGTCGAGGGCAAAGAAGAGGAGCTGCAGACATCTAGCTCATGTTTAATTTTTATGAATTCATTAATATTTGTGTTTTGTGGGAGAGATTTATGAAGTGAAATATGTCCTATATCATAATGTGAGCATTCTTCCTCTGTGATGAAGATAGTACTGGCTCCAGAGTCCAACCGGAGAGAAAAATACACATGTTCCTGAGCAAACTGCGAGATATGTCTCTGAAAGCTCAGCGCCACTCTGTCAGCAGGTACGTGGAGGAAACACACGTCACAGATCGGTGTACATCTGTTTGATTCTATTGTTTGCATAAAGACTGAAATATGTATAAATTTGTCTTTATTGGGAACAATATTGCTTCATAGTTAATAACTCAAAAAAGAGCCTTTTGCACTATATGTGTGGTTTAACAGTAGCTGGGCATTTGCAGGGTGCGCGTGGCATGCTCCCCGGCTCAGGACTTCCTGCGTGCGCTGGTGCAGCCGGAGTACAGCGCGGTCACAGACGTCTATGTGCTCATGTTCCTCGCAGACACCGTTGACTTCATCATCATCGTCTTCGGCTTCTGGGCCTTTGGGGTGAGCTCCTGACACCTTGTACACAGCCTACACTGGCCTGGTAAAGAGTCAGTCTTTTATTTTGTTTTTATCTATTATCTTAAGCAATAGATCTTGTTTGATGTGTGCATGAACCAGAGTGCTCTTATTTTCTACTTTTATTCTGCTGTAATGTGCACAACGAGGGTAATGAAGAGTCCCCACTGTGGGATGAATAAAGGTTTATCTTATCTTATCTTATATCTTTACTTTGTATGAAAGGGAACATTTACTCGCCACAATCAAATGAAAGGTACAAATGAAGGCTCAGTCTGAATTTTGCTTTTCATTTCCAGAGGTCCACCAGACCGAAAACATGCTCAATGTCCAAGAACTTTAAGAATAAAATTATTAATTTGTTTTAATTATCGTTGCCTTATGAAAACACACACACTCACCTACAGAAAGTATTCGGCCCCCTGAACCTTTCAACATTTTGCCACATTTCAGGCTTCAAACATAAAGATATAACATTTTAATTGTTTGTCATGAATCAACAACAAGTGGGACACAATCGTGAAGTGGAACGAAATTTATTGGATAATTTAAACTTTTTTAACAAATAAAAAACTGAAAAGTGGGGCATGCAATATTATTCGGCCCCTTTACTTTCAGTGCAGAAAACTCACTCCAGAAGTTCAGTGAGGATCTTTGAATGATCCAATGTTGTCCTAAATGACTGATGATGATAAATAGAATGCACCTGTGTGTAATCAAGTCTCCGTATAAATGCACCTGCTCTTTGATAGTCTCAGGGTTCTGTTTAAAGCACAGAGAGAACCATGAAGACAAAGGAACACACCAGGCAGGTCCGAGATACTGTTGTGGAGAAGTTTAAAGCCGGATTTGGATACAAAGATGGCTAAAATTGATGGGAAGATGGATGGAGCCAAATACAGGACCATTCTGGAAGAAAACCTGTTGGAGTCTGCAAAAGACCTGAGACTGGGACGGAGATTTATCTTCCAACAGGACAATGATCCAAAACATAAAGCCAAATAGACGTATCCAGGTGTTAGAATGGCCAAGTCAAAGTCCAGACCTGAATCCAATCGAGAATCTGTGGAAAGAGCTGAAGACTGCTGTTCACAAACGCTCTCCATCCAACCTCACTGAGCTCGAGCTGCAAGGAAGAATGGGAGAGAATTCCAGTCTCTCGATGTGCAAAACTGATAGAGACAAACCCCAAGCGACTTGCAGCTGTAATTGCAGCAAAAGGTGGCGCTACAAAGTATTAGCGCAAGGGGGCCGAATAATATTGCACGCCCCACTTTTCAGTTTTTTATTTGTTAAAAAAGTTTAAATTATCCAATCAATTTCGTTCCACTTCACGATTGTGTCCCACTTGTTGTTGATTCTTGACAAAAAATTTAATTTTTATATCTTTATGTTTGAAGCCTGAAATGTGGCGAAATGTTGAAAGGTTCAAGGGCACTGTACACATGCACCAACGCACGCACACACACACACATATATACACTTAAACACACAGGTTTCTTTTTTTCTTTTGTCTCTCTATCTCTTCTTCACTAGAACCAATGTGTTCATAGTACTCTCACATACAGTACTCTCTCTGATTCTGTGTATCCTTGATCCTTGATAATAATCCATGATCATAAGTTTTTGGTTATGTTATTAATTAATTCATGGAAATCATATCAGTCTCCGTTGAGAATCTTCTTTCTTGATGAGCTTGACGCGCCTGATGTAGAGCAAAATACAAACATGTGATGCCTGAATCAAGAATGCTGAATTTGTCAGTTGGAGCCAACTTCAGCCCTTAGCACACTTCCCTTTTCAGCAGCTCATGGAGTACACTGTCTATCACAATTAAACGGTAGTCTGTAGGCCGATGTTTTTGTTATGACTGCACTCACCCCAGCGTGTCTTTGCTGCTTGTGTGTGCTCCCGCAGAAACACTCAGCTGCTGCGGACATCACCTCGTCCCTGTCCGAGGACCAGGTTCCGGAGGCCTTCCTGGTTATGGTGCTCATTCAGTTCGGTACAGTGTGACCTCTTTGGACTCTCTCTCAAATCCCTTTTCTGTTTGCTTTGACCATACATAAGATAAGATAAAGTTTATTCATCTCACAATGGAGAAATGTACATGTCACATTTGGCATAGACAGAATCACTCAGATTGTGCAAAAGACAGAAGTGTGCAAACGTTTTGAAGTTACATATTACCTGAAGAAGACAGATGCTGCATAATGGTGTCTTATGTTTGTTTTCTATGCAGCGACCATGGTGATCGACCGGGCTCTGTACTTGAGGAAGACAGTCCTGGGGAAGCTGGTGTTTCAGGTCATCTTGGTTTTGGGGATCCACTTCTGGATGTTCTTCATCCTCCCCACAGTCACAGAGAGGTACAGTTCCGCCCCCAGGTCACCGACCCTTGTGCCATAGTCGATCACCGTGTCTGAATAATCAATCAATATTTTTTATCTCACCCATTCACACACAACTCATACACTCTCTTCTCTGATGCTAGCAGTACTAATCCAGTCCAATCTAGTACTGGTAATTCCTCATTTGTGTGACCATGAGCTACTACGAGACAGAAGGAGGAGGTCAGATTGAGCATTCGGTGGCGTAGGACAGAGTAGATGTGTAAAGTGAAGCAGCTCTGAAATCAGCCAATATATCCCCAAAAAATCTTAAAGTTTTCTACCTTAAAAACATCGTGCAGTGCTTTGAAAATGAGCGGGGACAGACCAACAATGTTCAGGAAGGGAGCTACGGAGAACAACAACACACCATGCTGTTGGGAATTAAGCTAACATTTGCCCCGTAACCACTGACAGCAGCATTATCCGTACCATTATAAATTAAGTCATGACTAAAAGGTTAGAAGACCTAAGTGCAAAGAATGAAATGCTTGAATGGATAGAAATGAATTAATGACCTGCAATGCCATGGAATGCATCAAAGATGCACAGGAGAAAATTATAAAAATGATCAATAAATCCTATTTCCATTTTATGCAAATGCGAAAGTACTTACTGTAGGTCACTTGGTCTTCAGGTTTATTTTGACATCACTTAAAAAAAGGGACATCACTTAAAGGGAAGAAAATGGATGGATGGATTAAAAAAATAACAAACACTATGTATTGTTCACAAGTTGTTTCTTTTCTTTTAAGAAAAAACAAATACAAATGTAATCAAACATTTAGATTGTTCAACATGGGAAAAACATGTATTATATATAATATCATACATCTATTATCACCCTATAGATTACAAAAGAGGTTAGGTTAAGTAAGTAAGTAAATAAAGTTTATTTGTATAGGACCAGGACCACAAAGCGTTTCACATTTATAACATGCAGATAAAATAACACATACAATAGTACACAGAGCTCGCGGTGCTGGGATCGTGCGACTCTTCCCAGGACAGTACCTGCAAATTGTGGCTCTCTGACATGGTCTGGTTCAGGAGGCAGTGGTGGGGAGGTGGAGGGTTGCTGCACGATATGAAAGTGCAATGTCTATGCAGGGCCGTGGTTAAATGAGAGAGGGGAGGGATGATTGGCTGCATAGAGCTGCGAGCTGAGTTGTATTGACTGATCGCTGATGCGGCGCAGCAGCATTAGATGTTTCCAATCTTTTGGTCTGATCCTCTGCTTTAGCCTCCTATGATTACAGTATTAGGGGTTGGGGCCAGTTTCCTCCAACCCTTTTCCCAACTGTGTCTTTATTTTTGTGTTTATGATTATTTTTTGTCCTTGTTGTTGTTTTGTGCTGAAAATATATACAAGCTTAAAATAAATAATCATTGCATGGAAGCTAACTGAAAAAGGAGACTGGAGTACTTTAAACTCTTGGACTTATAGGAGTACTGTTACACTGTCAGACTGTAATAAGAGTACTGGTACACTATCATATCCATGTATCTTGTATTCCAGGCGCTTTAACCAGAACCTGGTGGCACAGCTGTGGTACTTTGTGAAGTGTGTGTACTTTGGTCTATCGGCGTACCAGATCCGCTCTGGTTACCCAACTCGAGTCCTGGGCAACTTCCTCACCAAGAGCCACAACTACCTCAACCTCTTCCTCTTCCAGGGGTAAGCAGCTCCTCAGACAGTCCTGGGGGTTTAAAACTAAGCTGTAATAATAAGAAATATGGAAGACAAAACCTAACTCAAATAGTGCTGTCTACAGTTGCTACGTGAACTTCATGAACATCATGAGCACAGAAAATTGTCCGCCATAAAGTGCCTCTATTAGTTAACACTTCCAGCCAGTCTCACACTCAGCATACTTAGCTTTTGAAGTTGATGTAGCGCCCTGGTGACAGGAGGAGCTTGCTGCTTTTCCAGCGTTCTTCCAGCACCTCAGAAAGCGTCCTCAGCACCTGATCGTGCTGCCATCTGTATCATCCCTGAGAGAGTGCTGTTTTGCCGCCTGAGAGTCGATGCGAGGAAGGCATGCATTGGGGGTGTTGCAAAGCCACCATTTAGGAGTATAATTTAAATAAAAGTGTGTTCATGACATTGTATTTGTACAAAACAAAACTTATTGGTACAATAAAATAGATATTCATTGTGTGCTCTCAGATTCCGCATGGTGCCCTTCCTGACGGAGCTGCGAGCTGTGATGGACTGGGTCTGGACGGATACCACCTTGTCTCTGTCCTCCTGGATCTGTGTGGAGGACATCTACGCACACTGCTTCACCCTCAAGTGCTGGAGGGAGTCTGAGAAGGTATGTGGAAACTGTGAGGTGACTTAAAAGCAATCAATCAGGAGTCTAAGTCTTGATTCCAGTGTCTGTTGGAGTTACTTTGTTCTTAATTGCTTATAAAATTTAAATTCGTTTTAGATTTGGGTTGCAACTTGGCGTTGTATGTTTGTTTGTTTTTTAACACTTTTTCTTGTAAATGGTTGAATGAGATATACCCATCTGTGTGCCTGTATATACTGCAGCGCTACCCCCAGCCCCGCGGCCAGAAGAAGAAGCGTGTGGTTAAGTATGGCATGGGCGGCCTTATCGTGCTGCTGCTCATCTGCATCGTGTGGTTTCCTCTGCTCTTCATGTCACTGGTCAAGTCTGTGGCTGGAGTGGTCAACCGGCCCCTAGATGTGTCTGTCACCGTCACACTAGGAGGCTTTCAGGTCTGTACCTCCCACAACAAGCATCATCAAAACATAAGCAATGTCCTCTTTTTGGAGTTGGTAACAATGTTGTCCGATTGTTCCTCACACAATCAGAGTTGGTTGTTTTTAGTTATATTATTACTAGGGTTGTCAAAGTTATTGCGTTAATAAAAAAAATGCATTAATCGTGTTAAAAGAATTAACGCTTTTAACGCATGTGCCAAGTGACTGGCACCCCGCGCGGGTGTGACCGCGGGGCAATTGCTGTGAATGGGAGTCCGCAGCGTTCTGGGGCAGCTGCGGCCGCTTTGGACAGCGGTTCCCGCGTCCAGCAGCTGTGAGCGGCTTTCAACAACACAGGAGCACGCAGCCATACCGTGGCCATGTGCCCAAGGCCATATACACAAGACCACTGTGTGCACTGATCCCGCACAGGCGTGACCAGTGCACACAACCAAAACAGCGCTGCAAGAAACAGTCCGTCTCCCCCGTGTCTTCTCCCGAAGTGAAAAAAAAGACACTAAATTAAAGCTGGGGTACCTAACTTTTCCTTTGCACTACCATTTCATGTTGTTAGTGCCCAAAAATACAGGCCATTGGCTGACCTGCATTTCAGACTTTTTTCAAATGTCCCATTCTCATCCCTGTAACAAACAATAGTTTGTAGAAGCACAATAATGAAGAGGACCCACAGCCACAGACAGAGAAGAGCTTGTGTGTGCTCCCGCAGAAACACTCAGCTGCTGCGGACATCACCTCGTCCCTGTCCGAGGACCAGGTTCCGGAGGCCTTCCTGGTTATGGTGCTCATTCAGTTCGGTACAGTGTGACCTCTTTGGACTCTCTCTCAAATCCCTTTTCTGTTTGCTTTGACCATACATAAGATAAGATAAAGTTTATTCATCTCACAATGGAGAAATGTACATGTCACATTTGGCATAGACAGAATCACTCAGATTGTGCAAAAGACAGAAGTGTGCAAACGTTTTGAAGTTACATATTACCTGAAGAAGACAGATGCTGCATAATGGTGTCTTATGTTTGTTTTCTATGCAGCGACCATGGTGATGGTGAAAAAAAAGACACTAAATTAAAGCTGGGGTACCTAACTTTTCCTTTGCACTACCATTTCATGTTGTTAGTGCCCAAAAATACAGGCCATTGGCTGACCTGCATTTCAGACTTTTTTCAAATGTCCCATTCTCATCCCTGTAACAAACAATAGTTTGTAGAAGCACAATAATGAAGAGGACCCACAGCCACAGACAGAGAAGAAGAAGAAAGAGGAGGCTTTAGCAGATGTGGAATATGTCGAGCTGAAAAAGTAGTGTCTATTACAGAAAGACAGAATGTTTATAATGTTAATGCCATTTTATGTGGATTTGTTGTTATAATAAACAAATACAGTACATATATGATGTCATTTATCTTTTCATTCAAACAACCATATACATAAAAATATGGCATCATTTTGCCGATAGTTCAAAATGCGATTAATTACGATGAATTAATTTTTAAGCTGTAATTAACTTGATAAAAACATTTAATCGTTTGACAGCCCTAATTATTACATACATCCGGCAAGAGCTGGCACAAACAAAGTTCTCTGGTCTAAATTATATGCTTTATCTGGTGTCCAAACCGGTCCAGAAAGGGTCTGTGTGGCTGCAGGAGTTCGATCAGTCTGATAGATAACCTGCAGTCACTGTCTGGACCGGTTTGGAGACCTCTGTTCTAGATGGTAGGTATTTCAGTACTGATGGCAGGATGTGATTCAGAATTTGACCAGAAAAGAAGACCAAGATATTCAAGTGTTCAAATAAACAATATTTAATTTTCTTAACAATTTGATACTAATACAAAACTCTTTAAGCTCCTATCCCTGACTTCCCCTATGAGCTGAGACAAAAAACTGCCCCAACAGGCCTATAAGCTATGGAGGTCAGCCAGGCGCTCTGTGAAGACCTCCTTGACCCTGCTCAGACTAACACAGCATAGATTGATCACACATAGTAAATGTGCAAAGGGGCGTGTCGTATCAGGAGACGCCATCCTGGGGCCCATACGTAGGAGTGGCAAGACCAGGTTTGGGTCTGGTCTTAAACTTTGGTCCAACAGTGGAGGCGGTCAGCTGCCTCCTTCCTCCGCCACATATTATCACTTTTCTGAAAATCATCTTGGAAAACAGGAAGCTACACTCCCTAATTGTCTATTGCCCCCAGTTTGACACTTGATATTTTAGTTTCTGTCCTGTGATAGCCGGTCATAAAAGTTCCCCTATGCTTAAGTCTGTAGTTTTTCCTGCTAGTCTGCGATAACCCAGAGGCCACTTGTGGTTTGGGCATACTTTGACCTTTTCCTGGTTTCTGATCAAGTCTCTTTCTACGATTGAAGCGTCCCCTTTCTACTGTACACTAACCATCTAAAACACATTGTAAGGGATATAGAGCCCAATGATGGATTACTATAAGGCACACCTAGGTTTAGCACAAACCAAATCGAACAACAATGTAATTGTTAGTACATGAAATAACTGATAATAAAAGGTGATCAGCGTGTGTGTGTGTTTTATTTACACAACAGTACCAAAGATAAATATCTTCAAGACCAAGAGAAGCATTATGGACCCTGCCTAATGTGGCTGCTGTTATATTTTGTTCATTTGTCCTCAGCCCGTCTTCACCATGAGTGCCCAACAAAACCAGCTGAGGGACCTGAGTGAGAGGGAGTACCAAGTCTTTCTCAACTCCTACAGTTATGAGCCAGTGAGTACCCTGTCGTCTGTGAGTGGGTCCTGTAAGTTTATGTGTGCTTCATCAGGGTTGATTGGCAGTGCTGGTCAAAGGAAGAAATCATACTTTAGTTATGCAGAAAAATGATATTCTATGACAATATATACATAGAGGGGCGACAGTAGCTCAGTTGGTAGAGCATTGGCCTTTGAGCCTGAAGGTCGTGGGTTCAAACCCATCGTAAGACCTACTTCACGACTCCCACTGATGACTGCTGTCGTTGTGTCCTTAGGCAAGACACTTAACCCCACTTTGCCTGAAGCTCTCACTGAAAGATCTCAGCTCCTGTGGACTCACCACCTGCAGGAGGATCAGTGAGGGGCTGGTGCTAAGTGTACTGGGTGGCATCTCTGGCCACCCCCCCGACCCAGAAATGGATTAAGGGGAAGAAAATGGATGGATGGATGGAATATATACATAGAATAACACAATATATGCATTGATTTGCCAAAAACAGCAACATCATGTACAATATGCTCCTCCCACAAGAATCTGAAATACCAATTGTCAGGACCAGTGAAGCTAACATCTATGCTGGACCATGACTGTCACCCCCTGCACAACACTCTGTCTGTTATGGAGAGCAGCTTCGGGGACAGACTGATCCACCCTAGCTGTGTGAAGGAGAGGTTCTGCAGGTCTTTCCTTCCTGCTGCTGTCAGACTGTACAACAAACAATGAACATTGCCGACCTGACCTCACATGCCATGGATCATGCAAGAAAGAATGTCAGAATGTGCAATATGAGACCACATGTATATGCTGTCAATTTACTGAACGTTTGAACCCTCTGAGATGAGGCTAAGGACTTTCTACCCTAATATTCTTGCACTCCAGATATATCTGCAGTTGTGTAGGTATATATTCATGACTTTACAGTATTTTTGACTGTGACTTAATTAAGTTAAGGAAGCAAAGTATGTATTAACGTATAGAGTTGTGCTATACTTAACATTCAATTAACTTGGGTTGTGTGCTCCTCGTTCATACTGTACCATTCTGTCACTTATGATGCAACACTGACATTTACCTACTATGGGATGCATAAAGGATCTTTTCATCTTAATTCAGGATCATGTATTCATTTCTAATTCCTCTGAGATCTCGTCTGGTTGCTCAGCCCTTTAGCTGTGGACATTTTGCATCATATATAATTTTTCTGACTGACTTATGAGAAGCATCCTCCCTGTAAAAGGTTATTGTTGCTTCTGTCCCAGAATGCCCTGCAGTTCCTGGAGGCATATGGGGCAGAGGACGTTACCGTAGCAGCACTCCCAGGAAGCAGTAACTCCCTTTGGACCATCAGCCCGCCCAGCCGCAGCTACCTCAGCCATGTGCTCCACCTGGACAACTTCCCCCTCACACTCTCCTGGACTATCCAGAGGTATATGCTGACATATTACAGTCTATTACTTCACTAAAAACAATTCTCTCCAGCTGCAACAACAAAACTTCATCTCATATTTCTCGCCAATTGTAAATAAGATGACAATAAGATTGAAAAGTGCTTTATATCAAAAATGACTTAAAAACCATAACAACAAAATAGACTACAACATACTGTCTTCATTTTGTTATAAAAGAATCACATTATCTCATGCATACTCAAGAAAGAGCCCTGTGATGGGATTACAGATGGAAAGTGAAAAAAAAATATTTGTCCCTTTAATGCAAGGACCTGCATAACGGTACTGTCTGTTCGATCTCGATCATGTCACCCGCCTGAAATAATATCTTTGATTTGCAGATGGGTTCTTTCGCCTGCTATTTTAATGGCCCTTTCTTTCACCATCTTTACAGAGAGAGGCGTGTCTTTAAGTGCTGTGATATCTTTATGGATAAAATCATTCAGTAGTTTTTTTCACATTTGATTAATTCTGGAGATACAACCAAATTTGTAGCAGTAGAAGTGTTTGAGATGAATCCACTCCAGGAGAACTGCATCTGCACTTTCTCTTTCTCCTAACTGGGCAGTTGACAGAAAATTCAACATGCCTTCCGTGGCAATGTTTTTCCAAATCTTCTTATTACAAAGCAAAGCTGTTACAGTCCCTCCGCATTGACAATGAAGGTAAGTAAGTAAGTAAGTAAGTAAGTTATTATTTATATACCGCCTTTTCACTGCAGATCTGAGTCTCAAAGCGGTTTACAATTGTTAATTTTGGGCATTTGTCTCTCACTCCACACAGAGATGGGAGCGGGGCCAGTACAGGAGGCACATGCCAGAACTATTGGACATATTTTTAGTGGTAGGGGAAACCGGAGTACCCGGAGGAAACCTACGCAGACACGGGGAGAACATGCAAACTCCACTCAGAAAGGCCCTGGTCCGGCCGGGATTCGAACCCAGGACCTTCTTGCTGAGAGGCGAGAGTGCTATCCACTCAGCCACCGTGCCGCAGGAAAATGATTTGGACCATTCTTCCTTGAATGCTCAGTTCTCATTGGCTCTTTCTCTTTTTATCTTTGGGATCTATTTGGCGCCTGGTGCGGGGCTGTGCTGAATCTTATTGTAGGCTATCATGCAATTCTACGTTGACAGACATTTAATATTAATTACATTAAGTACATTTTTACAGCTTCCGTTAAAGTTAAGAATATTTGTCCTCCCAAAAATACACATTAAAACCAATATACAGTGCCTTGCGAACGTATTCGGCCCCCTTGAACCTTTCAACATTTAATGTGGCGAAAAGATATAAAATTTAATTTTTTTGTCATGAATCAACAACAAGTGGGACACAATCGTGAAGTGGAACGAAATGTATTGGATAATTTAAACTTTTTTAACAAATAAAAAACTGAAAAGTGGGGCGTGCAATATTATTCGGCTCCTTTACTTTCAGTGCAGCAAACTCACTCCAGAAGTTCAGTGAGGATCTTTGAATGATCCAATGTTGTCCTAAATGACTGATGATGATAAATAGAATGCACCTGTGTGTAATCAAGTCTCCGTATAAATGCACCTGCTCTTTGATAGTCTCAGGGTTCTGTTTAAAGCGCAGAGAGAACCATGAAGACAAAGGAACACACCAGGCAGGTCCGAGAAACTGTTTTAGAGAAGTTTAAAGCCGGATTTGGATACAAAAAGATTTCCCAAGCTTTAAACATCTCAAGGAGCACTGTGCAAGCAATTATATTGAAATGGAAGGAGTATCAGACCACTGCAAATCTACCAAGACCCGGCCGTCCCTCCAAACTTTCATCTCACACATGGAGAAGACTGATCAGAGATGCAGCCAAGAGGCCCATGATCACTCTGGATGAACTGCAGATAACTACAGCTGAGGTGGGAAAGTCTGTCCATAGGACAACAATCAGTCGTGCACTGCAAAAATCTGGCCTTTATGGAAGAGTGGCAAGAAGAAAGCCATTTCTCAAAGATATCCATAAAAAGTCTCGTTTAAAGGTTGCCACAAGCCACCTGGGAGACACACCAAACATGTGGTCTGGTCAGATGAAACCAAAATGGAACTTTTTGGCCACAATGCAAAACGATATGTTTGGTGTAAAAGCAACACAGCTCATCACCCTGAACACACCATCCCCACTGTCAAACATGGTGGTGGCAGCATCATGGTTTGGGCCTGCTTTTCTTCAGCAGGGACAGGGAAGATAGCTAAAATTGATGGGAAGATGGATGGAGCCAAATACAGGACCATTCTGGAAGAAAACCTGTTGGAGTCTGAAAAAGACCTGAGACTGGGACGGAGATTTATCTTCCAACAGGACAATGATCCAAAACATAAAGCCAAATCTACAATGGAATGGTTCACAAATAGACGTATCCAGGTGTTAGAATGGCCAAGTCAAAATCCAGACCTGAATCCAATCGAGAATCTGTGGAAAGAGCTGAAGACTGCTATTCACAAACGCTCTCCATCCAACCTCACTGAGCTCGAGCTGTTTTGCAAGGAAGAATGGGTAAGAATTCCAGTCTCTCGATGTGCAAAACTGATAGAGACATACCCCAAGCGACTTGCAGCTGTAATTGCAGCAAAAGGTGGCGCTACAAAGTATTAGCGCAAGGGGGCCGAATAATATTGCACGCCCCACTTTTCAGTTTTTTATTTGTTAAAAAAGTTTAAATTATCCAATAAATTTTGTTCCACTTCACGATTGTGTCCCACTTGTTGTTGATTCTTGACAAAAAATAGAATTTTTATATCTTTATGTTTGAAGCCTGAAATGTGGCGAAATGTTGAAAGGTTCAATACTTTACTAATACGAATACTTTCGCAAGGCACTGTATATATACTGTATACATCCCGCCCCACCAATTTTATACATTGTTTTAATTGTTCCAAGAGCCACTCGGGGGGCACTAAAGAGCCGCTAGGTGGCCGACCCTTGCTTTAATGTGATGGCTGCTGCTTCAGGCTCTGTATGTTCGCAGAGCACCTGGACATACTCTGACACTCTGTGCCACAGGAACCTGAGCCGGGGGGCCAAAGCAGAGCTGGCCTCAGGGAAACATGTAACTTACCTGGACGACCACACCCGCCTGGAGCTCATCCAGCTGCTCAACGGCACCAGGACCCAGCCGGTGTGAGTAAAACACACAACTACACTGTGTGTGGCTGTGTATGTACTGTATGTCTGTCTTGTCTGTATGCATATTGTTGTGTGCCTGTGTGTGTGTATATACACAGTATGTGTGTGTGTGCCTATATATATATGTCTATATTGGACTTTAGAAACAGGCCTAATGGTCTTCGGCAGGTGATCAGAGACTGAGATTTGGAACAGTTCCCCCACACTTCAACACAATAATATAAATGACTTTATGAATGCTACAATGACATCAGAGCATTGGTGTTGGTGCTTCATTAAAAAAAGGTTAAAGAAACCTCATTCCCCTCTAATCTTTTGACTTTTAACTGGTTGTGGCCTCTGCCAGCAAATCTAACTCTCAACAAGGTGGTGATCAGTCTGACCCCGATCATGGACTCAATTTATCTGGGGCAGCGTGAGGTTGAGTCTGGGTGAAGCTGAGGTTGACTATCTCGAGGTCACCGCCCTCAACTACCACCCAGTCCTCGGTGCTCCTGACCCCCATGAGTCCCTTTGTGAGTGGAGAGTCCACAGCGAGGCCCACATAGGCTGCCTATTATCATCCGAGAACTCAGACTCTAAATTATCAATAAACATTATATTATTTTGATTTATTGAATTTTGGAAGTGTTTTCATCCATATTGTTATTGATGAGTTCCCATAATGCAAATGCAAAAATACAGTCACAAAAGTTCAGAGTAAAATTAAATAAATCAGTCCTATGTTGTTGAATGATCAATGGGAATTGAATTGTGAATACTACGAAACATGCAGAAGGTAAAACTGGACCAGAGCTAGAGTTGCCAACCGTCCCTTAAAATACGGAATTGTCCCGTAATATAGAACAACTATGTACGTCCCGTATTTTCAGAGCCACCTTAAATGCATCACTCACTCACTGCATGTCACACACGCGACACACGCACACACAAAGTAATCACAGTTTAAGCGTCTTACTTTCGGCCAATCAGTGTCAAAGGGGCGTAGGCTTGATCACATCCACGGGTTTAATGTTAAGTGACAGCGTGGGCCGTGCCCGCAGCATCACCATGACAGAAGTTTGGTAAAGTAGGGTCATATTCCCAGATTCAGACTTTCGCGGTCAATAGCTCCCAAACTCTACTTTGTTAAACAAAAGTAATTTGAGCTAAAATGATCATCTCTTAGTTGATTATTAAAATCCAATGCGCTGTTTTAATGCAGAGAAATCCATTGAATCCAATGCACTGCAAGCGCCGAGAAAAGCATTCAGGGAGCGTCAACAAATGTCAAGACCAGCTTTGTCAACGAACAATAGCTTTTACTGAAGCCATGTGCACGCACAAAAGTCTCAGAAAATATAAATAATGACAAGATCTAACTGATACAGACTTTGATTTCAACATTTGTGAGTTTTTAAAAAAATGAATACACCCTGTTCAGTGGGTGGATGCAAAACAACTTCCTTCAGCTAAACGCAGACAAAACTGAAATGATTGTCTTTGGTCCCCAGAAACAAAGAGAGAGCGTCATCTGTCACCTACAGTCTCTCTCCCTAAAACCTTCAAACAAGGTCAGAAGTCTAGGGGTAATACTGGACTCAGACTTAAATTTTAATAGCCACATCAAATGAGTAACATCAGCAGCTTTTTACCATCTAAAAAACATTGCCAGGATCAAAAACATAGTGTCTAAAGCAGACCTGGAGATTCTTATCCATGCATTTGTCTCCAGTAGGTTAGACTACTGCAATGGCCTGCTCACAGGTCTGTCCAAACAGGCTGTAAAACAGCTGCAGTACATTCAAAATGCAGCAGCTCGAGTCCTGACTAGAACCAGGAAGTACGACCACATTAGTCCAGTTCTCAGGTCTCTGCACTGGCTTCCTGTGGCTCAGAGAATAGACTTTAAAACAGCTCTGCTTGTGTTCAAGTCTCTCCATGGCCTCGCAACAAAATATATTAGTGACATGTTAGTCCCAAATGAACCAGCCCGGACTCTGAGGAGCACAGGGACTGGACTCCTGTTAGTGCCCAGAGTCAGAACTAAACATGGGGAGGCTGCTTTTCAGATTCATGCTGCTAAAACCTGGAACAGTCTTCCTGAAGATGTGAGACAGGCCTCCTCTCTGACAATGTTTAAAACCAGGTTAAAGACAGTTCTGTTTAGCTGTGCATACAACTGAGGGATTTTATATTTTTATCTTTCTTTTTAATGTTCTGTGATTATTTATGATTTTAATGCTTTCTTGTTTTGTTCAGCACTTTGAATTGCCTTGTGTATGAATTGTGCTATATAAATAAACTTGCCTTACATATGTAGCAGCCAAAGAGTTCCACCAAGGATTTGTTTTTTATATGTAGTCAATAAAATACATTCTAAAAACTGTGATTATGAAATTCCACATTTACTGTGTAGACTGAAATTAGGACTAAAAAGTGCTCAACCCGATCCACCCAAATGGTGTCCCTTATTTTTTTGTTCTCAAGTTGGCAACCCTAACCAGAGCAGAGAAAATGGTCCGAACCAAGCGGCTCCACCTCTGCTGCTGTGTCCTGAAGTACTGTTGCGTATTATACAGTGGGGGCGGGTCCCAGCTTAAAAGTGGCCAAAATGACGTGCGCTGACATGCTTGCAATACCAACCCGGGCCGATGGGGGTGGACCCAGAAGAAGAATTAGCCAATGCTAACATATTAGGGTAAGCAGTACTGCAGGGCTGCTCTGTGCACCTTTTTAGTAAACTTTTAACAACTTTTTAGCGCGTTTTTATTGTTCAGTTTTTTAATATATCTGAGTGTTTTATGTTATTAATTCAGTGGTTTCAGCAAATAGCGCTTAGTCCCGACTGAAACCCACTAGTAGCACAGAGGCTAACACAAGCTAACGAGGACATGGAAAGTGACAATGAAATTGGCTCAAACATGCACAATATTAGTCGCCTCACCTTGGAGCTCCGTGAGAGCGACCGTGCCACCATTGCAGAACTACGAAAAGAAGTCCTTCGTCTCACCGCAGAGTTGAATGAGAAACAATCTCTAGTGTCCAAACTTTTTGAAGTCGCTGGTGGGCAGCATTCACGGCTTATGTCACTGAGTGCTGCATATTGTGACACTGTCGTGTGGGAGAGATCCGTCAGCTCCGGACCCTCCTGTTCTACACCTAAGCGCCCGGTTCCGAACAACGAGCCCGCGGATTCCGAGGAGCCATCCTGCGCCGTGGCCCATGTCCTGAGTCTGGCAAACCGCTATGCAGCCCTCTCCACTGACATCCCGGCCCCCTCAGCAGAATCCCTGGACACTGCAGCGTACTCTACTGCTCGAGGATCCAAGTCCACTGCGAGGAAAACGCTCCTAAAGGAAGCAGTCCTCAGGCGAAAGAGCGGTCCACCAGCCATGTTGGCCTGTTCCCCTTCTTTGACCCCAGTGCAGCAGCCTCAGACTGGGGTAGCGAGCCATCATTACCATCGCTCACCTCCACCGGGTCAGCAGCAGCGCCCAGAGCCAGCCCCTCTCACCGCTCCAGCGTCCCCGAGCACACAGCGTGGGTCGCCTGTAGCTGAGAGTCAGCACCCCCGCTCCTCCTCTCCATGTGTTCAGCGGCGCTCAGGCTCGGGTCCTGCTTCGGGTGAACCCGCTGGTTCCGTCCACCGAGCTCCTTCTCCGAGGCCGCGTCCACGTCCACTCTTCGCCCCGACCACTCTGATTATTGGAGATTCCATCGTGAGACACGTCCGCTTCTTCAACGCGGTCACTCGCTGTATTCCCGGAGCTACTGTACCAGACCTGCTCATCCGTCTCCCTCCTCTGCTTCAGTCCCTGCCTGATACCGTTTCCAAGGTAGTCGTGCATGTGGGAATTAACGACATGAAATTTCAGCAGTCAGAAGTCACTAAGAAACATTTTATGGATCTGTTCCACCTCCTTCAATCCACGGGATTATCTGTTTTTATCTCTGGTCCAATCCCGACTGTAAACAGAGGTGACTGCCTCTACAGTCGTGTTGTGGCGCTGCATATGTGGATCCAGGCTACATGCAGCTCTTTTAACTTTGTCTTTGTGAATAACTTTGCCCTTTTCTGGAAACGTAACGAAGCCTATCGTCCAGACGGATTACACCCAAACAGATACGGTAGCAGCCTGTTGATGGGCTACATGCGTTACGTTGTTCAGCGTTCCCCGAGGGGGGCGTGACTGTTTACATCTGAGCCCCCTCGGACCCCACCGCACTCCCCCGCCTCCTGCTCACCAGCACCGGGTGAGTACAACGGTGCAAACACTGCTCCCTGTCCGTCTGGCAGTGCATTACCAGTCCAAACACTGAACTGTGCTGACTCCCTTCTGACTCTGGGAGCTAAAGAACAACAAGGGTTTTCACATTTTAGGCCAATTGAGACTGTGTGTGTTCCTCGCACCAGCTCAAAAATGTTTTTAAATTCTAAAAAACGAAATCAAAACAGGACAGCAGTTAGACGGTCCAACTCTGCAAATCTAATTTCTGTTCCCTGTAGAAATCAATCAACCACATTAATCGACTCTGACGTTATTTTTAAACTTGCTATGCTTAATGTCAGATCTCTATGTAACAAATCATTTTTAATTAATAATTTTATCACTTCTTATGATCTTGATTTTATGCTTATGGCTGAAACATGGCTGGACCAAAATACAGGAAATGCAGTTCTAATAGAAGCAACACCACCCAATTTTAAATTCGAATCCGAAGTACGAGAAAACAAAAGGGGGGGAGGCATAGCTGCAGTTTTTAGAGAGCACTTTGTCTCCCATAGAATGCCCCTTGGAAATTTTTCATCGTTTGAGTATATTTCTTTTAAAATGGAACAAAAGCAATCTTCTACTCTTTTCATTGTCCTGTACAGGCCACCACAGTCATGTTGCGATTTTATTGACCATTTTACTGAACTACTTTCATTCGTGTGCACAGATTTTGATAGTTTAGTTATTACAGGTGATTTTAATGTACATGTTGATAATGTTGATGACAGAAATGCAAAGGAGCTGGCTTCTGTACTTGAGACCTTTGGTTTCATTCAGCACGTGAGTGGCCCCACCCACAGCAGGGGGCACACTCTTGACCTGCTAATTACAAAGGGGGTTAATGTATCAAATGTTAATGTAGTTGATGTTGCTTTGTCAGATCATTTCTGTGTATTTTTTGACATGTGTTTTGCTAGCAAACCACCAGCTGAATTTACAATTGTTAGAAGAAGACACATACATGAAAACACAGGTGAACTGTTCATGGGAATGCTAAATTTTGAGAAAACTCCATGCTCTACTGTTGATGAATTGTATAACTCTGTCACCACCAGTGTTCTGACTGTTCTGGACGCCATTGCTCCTGTGACGGTTAAAATAGTTACCAGTAAGAAAAAGGCCCCATGGACTAAGGCAGACTCGGTCAGGGCACAGAAGCAAGAGTGCCGGAGGGCCGAACGGAAGTGGCGAAAGTCCAATTTCCAGGGCGATTATGAAATCTTTAAAGATGAGTTGGGTGAATTTAACCGGGTTCTACGAAGAACAAGAGAAATGTATTTTTCTGACATTATTGGAGGTTGCAGTAACAATTTTCGTGTTATGTTTTCAACAGTTGGTAGATTAACGAACCCCCCTGTAAAGTTGCCCCTAGAATTTTCCTCTAAATCTAGGTGTAATGAGTTCGCACAGTTTTTCGATGACAAAGTACAAGGAATCAAAAACACTATCACCTCCACAGCACGTATAACAATGCAACAGCCAGAGAAGCTTTTTGAGCTAACTCACTTTGCACCTGTGGATACTGAAACTGTCAAAAAGATAATCATGAGTCTGAGCTCCTCCACATGTAGCCTGGATATATTGCCCTCTAAATTTCTGAAGTCCGTCCTGAGCAGTTTGTTACCTTCACTGACACAAATAGTAAACATGTCTCTGTCGTCAGGAACATTTCCTATGGCCCTAAAAACAGCAGTCATAAGACCTCTCCTAAAAAAGAGCAGTCTGGATCCTGCGGGACTTCAAAATTATCGCCCCATATCGAATCTGCCATTCATTGGAAAAATTCTTGAAAAAGTGGCCTCCCAACAACTTACTGAATTTTTAACAATGAATAATTCTTTTGATATGTTCCAGTCTGGGTTTAGACCCCACCACAGCACTGAGACCGCTCTAGTGAAGGTAACAAACGACATTCGACTTCACACTGATGCAGGTAAAGTCACAGTTTTGGTCATGTAAGATCTTAGTGCCGCGTTCGACACTGTCGACCATGAGATCCTCATGCAGAGACTGGAGGACTGGGTTGGTGTCACTGGCACAGCCCTAGACTGGTTTAGGTCTTACCTGGAGGATAGGAAGTACTTTGTGGAGATTGGAGACTGCGTCTCAGATCATGTGGCCCTGACCTGTGGAGTACCACAGGGGTCGATCCTGGGACCTCTCCTATTTAATCTCTACATGCTGCCGTTAGGTCAGTTAATACAAAGAAACAAAGTGTCCTACCACAATTACGCCGACGACACTCAGATCTATGTCTCACTGACTGCAGGAGAACATGGACCACTGGATTTGCTCCTTCACTGTATCCAACAGATCAGTGAGTGGATGCAAAATAATTTCCTCCAGCTAAATGCAGACAAAACCGAAATCATTGTCTTTGGTCCCCAGAAACAAAGAGAGGGCGTCATCTGTCAACTTCAGTCTCTCTCCCTACTTCCTTCAGACAAGGTCAGAAATTTGGGGGTAATACTGGACTCAGACCTAAATTTCAATAGCCACATAAAATCAATAACATCAACAGCTTTTTACCATCTGAAGAACATTGCCAAAGTCAGAAATATAGTGTCCAGGGCAGACTTGGAGATTCTTGTCCACGCATTTGTCTCCAGCAGGCTAGACTACTGCAATGGCCTGCTTACAGGTCTGTCCAAACAGACCTGTAAGCAGCTGCAGTACATCCAAAATGCAGCAGCTAGAGTCCTGACAGGAACCAGGAAGTATGACCATATTAGTCCGGTCCTCAGGTCTCTGCACTGGCTTCCTGTGGCTCAAAGAATAGATTTTAAAACAGCTCTGCTTGTGTACAAGTCTCTCCATGGCCTTGCACCAGAATACATTAGTGACATGTTGGTGTCATATGAACCAGCCCGGACTCTGAGGAGCACAGGGACTGGCCTCCTGCTGGTGCCCAGAGTGAGAACCAAACATGGGGAGGCTGCGTTTCAGATCCATGCAGCTAAGATCTGGAACAATCTCCCTGAAAATGTGAGGGAGGCGTCTACTCGGTCAATGTTCAAATCCAGGTTAAAGACTGTTCTGTTTGCCTGTGCATACAACTGAAGGATTTTATCTCCATTTGTAATGCACTGCTGTCATTTATTTATTTATTTTTTTAAATTTCTTGTGTAACTTTGAAAGTGTTAATGGTTTTATTCTTTTGTGTGATTTTATTGTTTTTATTGTGTTTTAATCTTTTGTGTGATTTTAATGTTTTAATTGTGATTCTGGTGTTTGTTTTATGTGATGATTTGTGATGTGGACTGTGAAGCGCTTTGTGTTGCCCTGTGCATGAAAGGCGCTTTACAAATAAACTTTGATTGATTGATTGATATAGCGTTGGCAGACCTCTCAAAAACGTCTTTACAGGATGGACCAAAAGTTGGCTCTTGGCCCAAAGCTCCGTTCCACATGTGTGTCAATGCTGAAGGGGGTGGATTTTTTTGGTCCACTCTAGTTTACTTGCTGTGAATTTTTTAAGTCTCTCGTTCAAATGAATGGAGCTGCGCCGGCTGACGCATGCGCAGATGTGTTTTTTCACAATTTTCTTGTGGGCGGGACCACTCGCGGCCATTTTGGATTGCTCCAGTAGAGCACATTTTTTGGCCCATTAGTTAGAACGGCGGAGATAGGCGTGACTCTGTCCGTTAATATATACAGTCTATGGTATTATTACTATTGTTAGCTTTTTAGACTGATCAATTTTATAAATGATCTTTTTGGTGCTTCTGGACACCTGAACTTCTCCTACGTGTGTGTTGTGTGTATGCAGCGTGATCCCAGATGTGTTTCCATGTTTCATCCGAGCCCCGAGTGACTCCAACGCTAAACCCATCGAGCAGCTCTACCCAGGTACAAGTGTGACATCACTCTCAATAGAACAAGTCCCATTCCTCTGCCATCGTCTCACGTAGAACCCATTGGAGTTTATACTTCTATGCTATGTTCCAACTTTGTCCCTAACATCAAGAACTGGATCCTATTGTCTTGCATGGAAAAGTTTACTCTAGCTCAGAATGAGTGTCACACTCTCTGATCCTGTTCTTTATGTCTTGATATTGTCTTTGTAAATCCAGTTATGAATTTGCCCAATAGATGCCTTTGTCTTGCCTTTGCAACTGTGTCTTCAGTCTGTTCTGCTTTATCTCAGGGAACTTTACTTAAAACTTTATCTAGAGATTCTTTAGTCGTCCTACAGTGGGGAATTTTCAGTGTTGCATTACCAATTGCAGCAAGAACTACTGTATTATCTATATTAAATAAAAAAACAATCTCTAACTCAAGCATGAAGAAGAAACAAGTGTAAAATTTCTATATTTAGCATAATTTGTACAAAAAAGTCTGACATTAGTATAATAAGTAAGGGATAATGTATAGTAGGCAGGTCATTATCGGAAAATAAGTACCGACAGGGCGTCTGCTTCGCGCTTATTATACGGCTTTGTACCAACAGAACACACAAAATAAACTTCAGTCCACTTTTAGGAATGCTGAAAGGTTTATATAATGACAGAAAATAAAATAGTTCCCAAAGGCTTTTCCGTGGCTATTCGAGTAACAGTTAGGCTATCAACTTCCAAACTAGAACTCTCTGGAACTGCATGAAAACTGAACAAAGAATTCTGAACATCAGCGGTGAGTGACCCAAACATAAACCTAACCTAAATCCATAATTCCATCCTCGGCAAATGTTCCTAAAATGTCCCGGAATCTACTTCCGGATTTGTAGCAATCCCTTTTTCTCGCATTAAAACAGTATTTTTGTCATGAAAACGTTAACGGATAATTCTGAAAACCTCCGTGCACTTGTGTTAAGAATATATATGTATAATTTAAATGTGTTGATTGTATTTGCGTTTATTGAGCGTGGCTAGCTCCGATTTACAGTCTATAGACAACAGTTGCGACGAAGTGGCCATACTACTTGCGGAGTAATCTACATATCAAGCAGAGGGTGTGTTGCCATGGGCAGCGGTCATTATTGTTTTGGAAGGTCGGTTATCAAGAAATAATTACTTGTAGAATGTTTTGAAATTACATTAAAATCAATGGAGTGTTCTACTGCTGCTGTGAGGAGCCCTGTAATAAAGAAGTATAAAATCTACCTTTGGCATAGCCTGGTCGTACCACACCATAGTACAAATTACATTTCGTACTAAGGTCTGGAGGTGCTCCATTGAGCTCTGTGAACAGGTGGGAGGGGTTAACTCTTTTTGCAGATTGAAACAATTGGATCTGAGTTTACCGTAACGTATGTAATGAGCCCGAGTGAGTCGTTAGCATTTAGCATTTAGCCTAGCCTCCTCCTTTGTCACTAACGGAGCCCGTGGGGAGTAGCGCCACAATATTTGCCAGCAATTACATTTGCTAAATATTCTTCTTGCTCCTGCTTCAATTTCTTGATAGAACCTGACCGGATTACTTTACTGTCGCATTCTTCCACATTGCCAAACTACAACCTGCCCGTTCGGCGCAAACTCTCGACGTCACCCACAACTAACTACAACACCCGCCTTCCGCGCTCGCTGATTGGTCGGATGGAATTCAAGCAATTGTAATCGCAAACACAGGGACCAGACCCAGACGTTACATGCAGTGAAATGATGATTGAGCAGAGTGTACGAATGGCTAAGGCCAGGCTACCTTTGGCATAATCAGAAGCAAATAAATCAAAAGGAAAGCATATAATTTCTGATTGTTTGTTCTTTAAGATGAGCACTTCAAAGACATCCTGTTGGCCTTGGAGCGGACCACCAGCAGCCGCTCAGACATGCAGGAGTGGTGGATTGTGGACCAATCAGCCAACAGTGTGGTTCACCTAGGGGGCGTGGCCACAGAGCGTCAAGAGGCGGGACTCCAGCTGTTTGTGTTCAGCGACAAAGTCAGTCCCCCAAGTCTGGGCTTCCTCGCCGGTTATGGGTAAAGAACCAGATTACAACCTGACTCTTTTATATTTTGTGCAATGGGGCTGTTCAGTGATGACAAAAGTACTCTGTAGTCTGCTTAATTCTTGTTGAACAGATAACTAGTAACAACCACTTCTTTGCTGTACGTTTACAACTCTTAGACCAAAGTTTAAAAACAGCATTAGGCGTGTCCACAGTAAATTTTAGTCAAATTGTTTTCCGGGGTTTACCGCTATATTGGTAATCGTGACATCCCTAAACAGCAAAATGAAATGAGCACGTATTTCCTTGATTCGGAGTCACGCTTTGTACACACATCACACGTCATGTGAAGTGTAGAGACTTGTGCCCACGTTATCAGCGAGGAGGAGACGGGCATAGAGGCGCGTAACGAGCTGCACGTAAATCTTGAACAATTATTTCCCACAGGATCATGGGCCTGTATGCCTCTGTGGTGCTCGTCATTGGGAAGTTTGTGCGTGAGTTCTTCTCTGGAATAAGCCACTCCATCATGTTTGAGGAGCTGCCCTGTGTGGACCGCATCCTCAAACTCTGCACTGACATCTTCTTGGTGAGCTCCTTTAAGACAACAGAAGTTGACCCATGTTGCCTGTATAAATGTGTACATCTCTTTTGTCTCTGTGGTGCTGCAGGTGCGGGAGACAGGGGAGCTGGAGCTGGAGGAGGAGCTATATGCTAAGCTGATCTTCCTGTATCGATCTCCGGAGACTCTGATCAAATGGACGCAGCGTTGAGAGCGCCATGCTGCTCCTGCTACACACACTCAGACGTGTTCGTTACAATACCTGTGCGCACACATCACTCAGGCAGATGGTCTCAAATTGTTCCCCCATCTCATTGGTCTGCTCTTCATTTACAGGTTTTTGGATCATTTATTGAAACTGAAACCTCTATTCTTGATACGATCATTTGCCCGAACAGTGTTAAGTTATACTTGTACGTCCATCCATCCATCCATCCATTTTCTTCCCCTTAATCCATTGCTGGGTCGGGGGGTGGCAGTCAGAGCTGCACCCAGTACACTCAGCACCAGCCCCTCACTGATCTTCCTGCAGGTGGGGAGTCCACAGGAGCCTTGATGTTTCAGCGGGGGTTTCAGGCAAAGTGGGGTTAAGTGTCTTGCCCAAGGACACAATGACAGCAGTCATCAGTGGGAGACGTGGAGTAGGTTTTGTGGTGGGCTTGAACCCACGACCTTCAGGCCTAAAGGCCATTTCTCTACCAACTGAGCCACTGTCGCTCAGTACGTCTCCGTAGGGAAATATTTCCTGTGCATGTGACTTATCCTTCAAAGCCACTGAGGCACAGGTGTCGGAGCAAATGACCCGACCATGTTTAGTGGCAATTTTAACTATTTCACATGCAGCATTGATGGTGAGGTTAACATGAGCTAGCATTACATGTTGTACCTCATTCTAAAGGACATTTTCTTTCGAGAAATCAACCATCATTTATTTTAGTCTAAAATGTAGCTCAACATATAATTATAAATTGGTAGTTTAGAAAGAAAATATTGGCCAATCCTTTAACCTTTTTTTGGCCCAAACATACAGCAACTGAACTAGTTTTGTTCCAAAAAATATACCAGAAAATAATGCAAACTCGGGTTAAATTAAAGTAATCCTTCAGTTAAAATACCTTGAAAATGCGTAAAAAAATATCCAGATGCAAAGATGAGCTTGTTTACAGTGTGGAAGGGACATTCAATTCCTATGGTCATGGACCATGGATATTTAATTTCTAATTCATTTATTGCAAAGTTTTCTTGTTATTAAAGACGTAAAATAATTATAGATTTACTGTCAGTCCCCGGGGAGCTATGATGTTTTCAAATCTGACCTGACCATAATGAGTTTGACACCCTGGCACAAGGCCTCTGTCAGGAGCAGTGGGCTCTGTGATCTCCAGAGGCCGATGCTCAGTTTGGTCAGGACCAGAGCTGGAGGTTTACCTAATGAACATGTTTTAGTGGTAGGAGCAGAGGAAATGTATGCAAACATGTGGAGAACATGCAAACTCCACTCAGCAAACAACTGTTGCCCAGCAGCTGAGTGGTTAGCAGTTGTGCGCTACATTTCAGCTCATGAGCTAGTTCTCCAAAAACTACTCACACAAGCATCAAAACTATATTCCTTTCCCATGTAGTGTCTGTCCGGACTACGCTTTTGTGGCTCGTGTGCACCGCAGTGATTGGTTTCTAGGACTACCATGGTCTTCCTGTAGCCCTCAGTCCTGCTTGCTCAGTCGTTTGCTTGGCTTTTGACAGCTGCAGCAGCGCTCAGACTTATAATGAACAAGTTTGATATCTCTGAGATTGGATTCCAGCAGTAGTCAGTTCAGGTGTTAGTAAAAAGCCTTAAAACATACAGCTAGTACTTCAAGGTTTTCGCTTTGTGCTGGTTATTTTCAAAACGTAAACCCTGCGATGAACCACTGTGTGTGAAATATAAACCCAAACCAAAAAGACAAAATGAGATCTTGCCCAGTTCAGTTCTGTCAATACAGTATAGCTTTGACATGAAGACTTTTCCTTGTCGCAGTGGTCTCTCCTGGTCTCCCTCCTCCCCCTCCTCCCCCTCTTGTATTTATTGGTAAAATGTGCTGACTGTACAGAACCCTTTGAGGCTTGAGGAGATTTGTAATGTGATGAGTCAATGAGAAATGTTTCAGTTTTGAACAAATAAAGTTCTAACAGTAACAAGCAGTAATACTGATTTGTGTTTCGGTGCGACATGAAACTGTGTCAAAGACATATACTGTACATTCATCATTTTTTTTCTTTTGTTCTTTAAGCCTTTGGTACATTTGATGGTGTAGAATGTGAATTGTAAAGTTGAAAATATATGGAATAACATGTATAATGCATACAATAATGGACTCCATAAAATTGAAGGCACATGGCTTGTTGCGGCTATCCAGATAGATGGTAGCGCCGCACGCACTACCATCTAGGCGCTCAAATCGAGCGCACTTCACAGCAGGAGACGCGCTCCTCCCAGTCGGCCCCTTCCAATGGCCGTCGTGGGTGGGGCCCTCTCCCCTTTTATTAGTGATTGTTTGAACGTGTGAATGAATGAAAAAGAACAGTGACTCGTGCTCACTGCAAGAAGTAAAATTTATAATAAAATAAAAGACACTCCTGCCTTGTGTTCGTCCGTAATTTTGGGTCATTACTGCAATATGGCTGTAAAAAAATAAATCCAAAAACAACTAATGTAACTCAGTCCATGTCCTAATCTGAGCATTCATTATAATATAAAGCACTGAGACCCCACCTGAGCAAGTGAAAATCCCACTCGGTAAAAATTCATACAATATTCTGTAGAAAATATTTTTCTTTTGAAATTTAAACAAACCCAAAAAACATTAATAAAAAGATGAATGATTTGAGAGGCGACATGGGCTAATGGCGGAGTAGCAGTTTTCTGCATGGGCTCCCGCAGCTCGGTATCTATTTCTGTTCATTTTACCTTGAAGACCATGACGAAACTTGTGCCAATCTGCTCGTGAAGCTGTAAAGACAGAGGAAGATCACTATATGGGGGTGAAATCTGAAAAACAAGCGGAAAACAACGTTTCTACGTCTGCCACTGCTAACAATGAAGAAGGCGTAATGGCCGACCCCACGCCGCCACCTGTTCTCGTGCCAAGAGGCGTCCCTTGTCATTAGGCAAGGCAGGCAGCTGCCTGGGGCCCCCGAAGCCGACTGATTAGCGATCGACTTGTACAGGTTACAACAGCTAACTGCAGTGACGAGTTGGTGGATAAAAATTCTTCCTCTGATGCAAAACTTGCCACGTTCTTGTAGGGTTGTAAATTGTAGTGTAGTGCGGCTAGTCTCCAGATTAGAGTCTCGCCGTTCTACACCAAGGGGATCTGAATTTACTTTTGGGGCACCAGCAGAGTTATGAAAAGTCTGCAACAGATCCAACTAATCTGCCTCGATCAGTCTTGCAAATCTGATAGGTTGTGGGTACGTAATCAGCCAGGGACATCAAAGATTGAAATCGGGACGCTTAAAGATGATTTGGTTTTAACGTGGGTTTATTGACTACATACAAAAATAGAAAAATATCAACGAAAAGGGTTTTGGTCACATTAACGGAGATGTTATACATATCATATGAATCACACATTAACGTGGAACAGTCCTACTTTGAGCAGTTCGGATGGAGGGATGGTGATGAAGAAAAGTGAAGAAGGATGAGGATGAAGGATGGAGATGGGTAGAGGCGAGGCCGGCAGTCCGCGTGTTCCTTTGTCCGAACAGAGAGGAGAAGGAAGCCAACAACTCGAGTCCAGAACTTTAATTCCACACACACTCTCGCCTTTCTAGAATAGCGATGCGGGAGGAGAGGTCCAGAGCCGAAAGTGGCTGATGATGGAGCAGTTCGTGATCCCCGACAGCGGTATCGTGGGCTGTCCTCGCGGAGGGAAAAAGGCCTCAGTGGGTTACAGGCGCGGGTTGTAGTAGAAGACACGTACTTGCGGAGGTTGGTATAGTAATTTCAGGGTTTCCAAGAGGTCGTATCTCTGGGTTGTACGTGTTTTTATTGACTTCCAAAGGAGGCGCGTCCGTGACGTCATCCTTGTGCGCAGGATTAATACAGACATTCATAACACATGTACAGGCACACACCGCATTTACATTACTTGACAATGATACACACGTGTAGGGCATAGTACAGGTTATCAGAATAATGACTTCACGAGTGATGGTTTAGAATGTCCGTCTCGGGTGTGATAGTGTTCAGTGTCCACTGGGGGGGCGTCAGAACGCCGTTGGTGGCTCGCCAGCTGTCCAAAGGCAAGGAATGTCCCCTGGAGTGAGAGCAGACTTTGATCTCTGTTCTCGCCAGGGAAAAGAGCAGAGATGTTTACGCTCCGTAGTCGATTCATTGCTCCAAAACTGACAGTCGTTATCTCTATGACCGATGAGAGCTCTCTGTTCGACTTCTTTATGGCTTAGATGTCTTCTCGGAGAGACATTCCCAAAGTCTTATCGGAGCTGGTTAGTGTCCTGGCGGGGTCAGTTTCGGTCCATGCTCTGTGCCTTGTGCTCTCTCTTTTGTCACCTTACATTCTTCATGAACAGTAGAAAACCCTGCCTGGGGATGTCAATGTGATGTATGTAATAGTGGTCTAGTGGTTAAGCTGCAGCACTTGTGTGGTGATGGGCTGGGCTCAAATCTGGGTGAGATCTATATTTTGGATTAAACTATATGTATTATACTGTATTCTATGACAGATTGCTCAAGAACGTTAAAAGGTAAAAACAAGCCGTGGGAGTTGTGAAGTAGGTTTCGAAGTAAGTTGGACGTTCAGGCCCATAGGCCAGTGCTCTACCAACTGAGCCACTGTCGCCCATGTATATACATATATAATAGTGTTACACCACTCTGACAACTTGGTGTGGAAAAATGAGCTCTTTAATGTCTCTGGAGAACACAACGGGAAAAACAGCACAAAAAGACAAGTTCTTCAGTTCAACCGCTTAAAAAAAACCATACAAAAACATCACTTATATACCAGGGGCCGCACGCACTACATGGGATCTCACGCGCTCCCTGTTAACTGATATATTTAAACACAATACGTTACATGAACTGTTTCTATATAATTAAACTAGGACAATTATTTCTACAATATTAAAGATTGCAGCACTTAGAATAAGTGCTACAATCCTCCCCTTCCAAACAAAACGGTATAAAGAACAAATATACTTATGTGACAC